GTGCCGGTCCCGCTCGTCCGGCCCCGCCGCCCTGCCCGGGCCCTACCGGGGCCCCCTCCCCATCCCGGGGGGCGATGCGGCCGCGCCCCCTCCCCACGCAGCCCCCGCCATGTCCCGCCGCGCCCCCTCCCCCCGCGCCGCGCCCCCTCCCCCCGCGCCCCCGCTCTCCTCCAGCTGGCCCCTGCTGGGACCCCCCCGCCGCAGCGTCTGGTACATCTACAGGTACGGGGACCCCCGGGACCCCCGGGACCCCCGGGACCCCCCCGGGACACCCCCGGGACCGGGACCCCCGCCAGGGCCGGGACCACCCCCCCAAATCCATCCCCGTGTCCCCTTCTTCTGTCCCCACCAGGGTCCCCCCAATTCCGGTGTCACCCCCCCACCCGTGTCACTCGGGACCCCCCCGGGACCCTCCCGGTACCCCCCCGGTACCGGGACCCCCGCCAGGGCCGGGACCACCCCCCAAATCCATCCATCGTCTCCCTTTCTATGGTTTTTATCAGGGACCCCCAATTCCGGTGTCACCCCCCCCCCCGTGTCACTCGGGACCCCCGGGACCCCCCCGGGACCCCCCCGGTACCGGGACCCCCCCCCGGTACCGGGACCCCCGCCAGGGCCGGGACCACCCCCCCAAATCCATCCCCGTGTCCCCTTCTCCTGTCCCCACCAGGGACCCCCAATTCCGGTGTCACCCCCCCCTCCGTGTCACTCGGGACCCCCCCCCCACGGTACCGGGACACCCCCGGGACCCCCCCGGGACCCCCCCCCGGTACCGGGACCACCCCCCAAATCCATCCCCGTGTCCCCTTCTCCTGTCCCCACCAGGGTCCCCCCAATTCCGGTGTCACCCCCCCCCCCATATCACTCCGGGGTCACTCGGGACCCCCGGGACCCCCGGGACCCCCCCCCCGGTACCGGGACCCCCCTACGGGCCGGGACCACCCCCCAAAATCCATCCCCGTGTCCCCTTATCCTGTCCCCACCAGGGTCCCCCCAGTTCCGGTGTCACCCCCCCCCCCATATCACTCGGGACCCCCCCGGGACCCCCCCGGGACCCCCCCCCGGGACCTGGACCCTCCCCCGGGCCGGGACCACCCCCCCAAATCCATCCATCGTGTCCCATCTCCTGTCCCCAATAGGGACCCCCAATCCTGGTGTCACCCCCCCCCCGTGTCACTCGGGACCCTCCCCACGGTACCGGGACCCCCCCGGGACCCCCCCCGGTACCGGGACCCCCGCCAGGGCCGGGACCACCCCCCCAAATCCATCCATCGTGTCCCTTTCTATGGTTTTTATCAGGGACCCCCAATTCCGGTGTCACCCCCCCCCCCCGTGTCCCCCCCAATATCCCCCCAATGTCCCCCAATGTCCCCCCAATGTCCCCTCGTGTCCCCCCAGTGTCCCCCAATGTCCCCCCAATGTCCCCCCAATGTCCCCCAATGTCCCCCCATGTCCCCCAATGTCCCCCCAATGTCCCCCCAATGTCCCCCAATGTCCCCCCATGTCCCCCCCAATGTCCCCCCCAATGTCCCCTCGTGTCCCCCCAGTGTCCCCCAATGTCCCCCAATGTCCCCCCCAATGTCCCCCCCAATGTCCCCCAATGTCCCCTCATGTCCCCCAATGTCCCCCCCATGTCCCCCAATGTCCCCTTAATGTCCCCCCATGTCCCCCAATGTCCCCCCCAATGTCCCCCCAATGTCCCCCAATGTCCCCCCAATGTCCCCCAATGTCCCCCCAATGTCCCCCAATTTCCCCCCCCAATGTCCCCCCATGTCCCCCCCAATGTCCCCCCAATGTCCCCCCTCAATGTCCCCCCCAATGTCCCCCCAATGTCCCCCCTCAATGTCCCCCCAATGTCCCCCCCAATGCCCCCCCAATGTCCCCCCCAATGTCCCCCCCATGTCCCCCCCAATGTCCCCCCCATGTCCCCCCAATGTCCCCCAATGTCCCCCCCATGTCCCCCCAATGTCCCCCGATGTCCCCCAATGTCCCCTCCTGTCCCCCAATGTCCCCTCAATGTCCCCCCAATGTCCCCCCCAATGTCCCGTCCATGTCCCCCCAATGTCCCCCCAATGTCCCCCAATGTCCCCAATGTCCCCCCAATGTCCCACTCAAGGTCCCCCCAATGTCCCCCAATGTCCCCCAATGTCCCCTCATGTCCCCCAATGTCCCCCAATGTCCCCAATGTCCCCCCCATGTCCCCCAATGTCCCCCCCAATGTCCCCCCATGTCCCCCCAATGTCCCCCCAATGTCCCCCCAATGTCCCCCCATGTCCCCCCAATGTCCCCCCCAATGTCCCCCCATGTCCCCCCCAATGTCCCCCAATGTCCCCCAATGTCCCCCCAATGTCCCCAATGTCCCCCTCATGTCCCCCCCAATGTCCCCCAATGTCCCCCCAACGTCCCCCCAATGTCCCCCCAATGTCCCCCCCATGTCCCCAATGTCCCCCCAATGTCCCCAATGTCCCCCCAATGTCCCCCCAATGTCCCCCAATGTCCCCCCAATGTCCCCCCAATGTCCCCCCCAATGTCCCCCCATGTCCCCCCATGTCCCCCAATGTCCCCCCAATGTCCCCCTCAATGTCCCCCCCATTGTCCCCCCCAATGTCCCCCCAATGTCCCCCCAATGTCCCCCCAATGTCCCCCAATGTCCCCCCAATGTCCCCCCCAATGTCCCCCAATGTCCCCCCAGTGTCCCTCTGTCACTCTTTGTCCCCCCGGGGGTGGCAGGGGACACTGGGGAGGGGGAGGGGACACTGGTGGGGGGACAGGGAGGTGACAAATTGGGGGAGGGGACTTGGGGACACTGTTGGGGGGGGGGGTGTCACCCGTGTGCGGGGGAGGGGCTGGCAGGGGACAAGGGGGACACGTGGCCTCCGTGCCATCCGTGTCCCCCCATTGTCCCCGTGTGTCACCTGCAGGAGAGTCCCCGGGTCTGCCCCATGGCCCCGGTGTCCCCAAACCCCCAGTGTCCCCAAATGTCCCCAAACCCCCAGTGTCCCCAAATGTCCCCAAACCCCCGGTGTCCCCAAATGTCCCCAAATGTCCCCAAATGTCCCCAAACCCCCAATGTCCCCAAATGTCCCCAAACCCCCGGTGTCCCCAATCCCCCCAACATCCCCGATGTCCCCAATGTCCTCAAATGCCCCCAATGTCCCTGATCCCCCCAATGTCCCCAAAACCTCCCTGATGTCCCCAATCTCCCCACCCCCAAATGTCCCCAATGTCCCAAACATCCCCGATGTCCCCAACCCCTCAAATCCCCCAATGTCCCCCAATGTCCCCAACCCCCCGATGTCCCTGTTGTCCCCAACCCCTCCAACGTCCCCAAACCCCCCCAATGTCCCCATTGATGTCCCCAATGTCCCCAAATGTCCCTGATGTCCCCAACCCCTCCAACATCCCCAAACCCCCCAGTGTCCCCAAATCCCCAATGTCCCCGATGTCCCCAATGTCCCCAATATCCCCAACCCCCCAATGTCCCCAATGTCCCCAATGTCCCCAATATCCCCAACCCCCCAATGTCCCCAGTGTCCCCAATGTCCCCAATCCCCCCAATGTCCCCAATGTCCCCGATGTCCCCAATCCCCCCAGTGTCCCCAATTCCCCCCAATGTCCCCAATGTCCCCAATGTCCCCAAAGCCCCCCAATCCCCCCAATATCCCCAATATCCCCAATATCCCCAATATCCCCAATGTCCCCAATGTCCCCAATGTCCCCAATGCCCCCAATGCCCCCAATGTCCCCAGTGTCCCCAATGTCCCCGATGTCCCCAATGTCCTCGCAGCGATTACATCATTAAGGAGAAGACGGTGCTGCTGCAGAAGAAGGACAGCGAAGGGTTCGGCTTCGTCCTGCGCGGGGCCAAAGGTCAGAGGGGACATGGGGACATTGGGGACATCAATGGGGACATTGGGGACATTGGGGACATTGGGGGGATTGGGGACATTGGGGACATTGGGGACATTGGGGGGATTGGGGACAGTGGGGACATTGGGGGGACATTGGGGACATTGGGGACATTGGGGGGGTTGGGGACATTGGGGACACTGGGGACAGTGGGGACATTGGGGGGATTGGGGGGATTGGGGACATTGGGGGACATTGGGGGGGTTGGGGACATGGGGACATTGGGGACATTGGGGACATTTGGGGAAATCAATGGGGACATTGGGGACATTGGGGGGATTGGGGGCGTTGGGGACATAGAGGGGGTTGGGGACATTTGGGGACATTGGGGGGGTTGAGGACATTTGGGGACATTGGGGGCATGGGGGACATTGGGGACATTGGGGGGTTGGGGACATCAATGGGGACATTTTGGGGACATTGGGGGGGTTGAGGACATTTGGGGACATTGGGGGCATGGGGGACATTGGGGACACTGGGGACATTGGGGACATCAATGGGGACATTTTGGGGACATTGGGGACGTTGGGGACATTTTGGGACATTTTGGGGATTGGGGGTTGGGGACATTTGGGGACATTTGGGGACATTGGGGACAGTGGGGGAGGGGCTGGAGGGTCCCGGGGTGGCCCCAGAGGTTCCCTGGGGGGGAATTTGTGGAAATTTTGGGGGTTTTGGGGGAAATTTTGGGGGTTTTGGGGGAAATTTTGGAATTTTTTTTGGAGATTTTTTGGGAATTTTTGGAGATTTGGGGGAAATTCTGGGAATTTGGGTTTTTTTGGGGGAATTTCAGGGTTTTTTTTGGGGAATTTTGGGGTTTTTTGAAGATTTTGAGGAATGTTTGGGGGATTTGGGGGCAATTTTGAGAGAAAATTTGGGGGTTTTTTGAGATTTTTGGGAAAATTTGGGGGTTTTGGGGGGAATTTTGGGGATTTTTTGGGGAATTTGGGATTTCTTTCCTTGGTTTTTTACGTGAAATTTGGGGGATTTTTGGGAGATTTTGGTGAGATTTTTGGGAGATTTTTGAGATTTTTTTATAACAATTTGGGGGTTTTGAGGAATTTCAGGATTTTTTGGGGAATTTTGGGATTTTTGGGAATTTGGGATTTTTTTAATGGGATTTTTGTGGGGGGATTTGGGTTTTTCCTCGATTTTTTGACCTTATTTTTTGGGTTTTTTGGGGATTTTTTTGGATTTTTTGGGGGAATTTTGGGGGGATTTTTGGGGGGATTTTTGGGGGGATTTTTGGTATTTTGGGGATTTTTAAATGGGATTTTTCGGGGGGGAGATTTGGGATATTTTTGCCTTTTTTAACTTGATTTTTTTGGTGATTTTGAGATTTTTAATGGGATTTTTTGGGGGATTTTTTTGGGAATTTCGCGGGGATTTTGGGGATTTTTATGGGAATTTGGGGGATTTTGGGGTAATTTGAGATTTTTGTGGGAATTTGGGATTTTTTTGAGGAATTTTGGGATTTTTGTGGGAATTTTGGGATTTTCTAAAGGGTTTTTTTGGGGGATTTTTGATTTTTTTTCTCTATTTTTTTTACGTGATTTTTTTTTATTTTTTGGGAATTTTTGGGCAAATTTTGGGATTTTTTAATGGGAATTTTGGTGATTTTGGGATTTTTGGGGAATTTTGGGATTTTTTCTGGGAATTTGGGGATTTTTTTAAAAGGGATTTTTTGGAGGGGATTTGGGATTTTTTTTTTTTTGTTTTTTTTACGTGAAATTTGGGAGATTTTTGGGAGACTTGGGAGATTTTTGAGATTTTTTATGGGAATTTTGGTGATTTCGGGATTTTTTTGGGAATTTTGGGATTTTTTGGGGAATTTGGGGATTTTTTCAATGGGATTTTTTGGGGGGAGATTTGGGATGTTTTTTGTCTTTATACGTGATTTTTCTGCTGATTTTGGGATTTTTTTGGGATTTTTTGGGGGAATTTTGTGGGGATTTTTTGGTATTTTGGGGATTTTGGGATTTTTGGGAATTTGGGGATTTTTAAATGGGATTTTTTGGGGGGGAGATTTGGGATTTTTTTGGCTTTTTTAACTTGATTTTTTTGGTGATTTTGAGATTTTTAATGGGATTTTTTTGGGATTTTTTTGGGGAATTTTTTGGGGATTTTTGGGGTTCGGTATTTTTGGGGTGAAATCGGTGATTTTTGGGGTTTCTGCCCCTCCCCCCACAGCGCAGACCCCCATCGAGGAGTTCACCCCCACCCCCGCCTTCCCCGCCCTGCAGTACCTGGAGTCGGTGGACGAAGGGGGCGTGGCCTGGAGGGCGGGACTGCGCATGGGCGACTTCCTGATCGAGGTGAGGCCACGCCCACACCTGGGCACACCTGGGCACACCCTTAAATACACCTGGGCACACCTGGGCACACCTGGGCACAGCTGGGCACACACCTGGGCACACCTGGGCACACCTGGGTGTACATGGGTACACCCTTGAACACACCTGGGCACACCTGGGCACACCTGGGGCACCTGGGCACACCTGAACACACCTGGGCACACCTGGGGGCACCTGGGGGCACAGCTGAGAACAGCTGGGCACACCTGGGGGCACCTGGGCACACACCTGAACACACCTGGGGGCACCTAAACACACCTGGGCACACCTGGGGGCACCTGGGCACACCTGGGCACACCTGGGCACACCTGGGGCACAGCTGGGCACACACCTGGGCACACCTGGGCACACCTGGGTGTACATGGGTACACCCTTGAACACACCTGGGCACACCTGGGCACACCTGGGTGCACCCCTGAACATACCTGGGCACACCTGGGGGCACCTGGGCACACCTGGGCACACCTGGGGACACACCTGGGGGCACCTGGGCACACCTGGGCACACCTGGGGGCACCTGGGCACACCTGGGCACACCTGGGGGCACCTGGGGACACCTGGGCACACCTGGGCACACCTGGGCACACCTGGGCACACCTGGGGGCACCTGGGTGCGCATGGGATCACCATTGAACACACCTGGGAACACACCTGGACACACCTGGGCACAGCTGGGCACAGCCGGGCACAGCTGGGCACACCCCTGGGCACACCTGGGCACACCTGAACATACCTGGGCACACCTGGGGCACACCTGGGGGCACACCTGGGCACACCTGGGTGCGCCCTTGAACACACCTGGGCACACCTGGGGGCAGCCAAGCACACCTAGACACAGCTGGGCACACCTGGGCACACCCTTGAATACACCTGAGGGCACCTAAACACACCTGGGCACACCTGGGCACACCATTGAACACACCTGGGCACACCTGGGGACACCTGGGCACACCTGGGGGCACACCTGGGCACACCCTTGAATACACCTGGGCACACCTGGGCACATCTGAGCATACCTGAGGGCACCTAAACACACCTGGGCACACCTGGGTGCACACCTGGGGGCACCTAAACACACCTGGGCACACCTGGGGGCACACCTGGGGGCACCTGGGCACACCTAGACACAGCTGGGGCACACCTGGGCACACCTAAACACACCTGGGCACACCTAGGCATACCTGGGCACACCTGGGCTCACCTGGGGGCACCTGGGCACACCTGGGGGCACCTGGGGGCACACCTGGGCACAGCAGGGCACACCTGCGGACACCTGGGGGCACACCTGAACACACCTGAGGGCACCTAAACACACCTGGGGACACGCCTGGGCACACCTGGGGGCACAGTTGAGAACAGCTGGTCACACCTGGGCGCACCCCTGAACACACCTGAGGGCACCTGGGGGCACCTGGGTGCACCTGGGGACATCCCTGAATACACCTGGACACACCTGGGGACACCTGGGCACACCCCTGAACACATCTGGTGCACCTGAACACACCTGAGCCGTGTCACACCTGTGTGATGTCACACCTGTGTGATGTCACACCTGAGCCGTGTCACACCTGGGCTGTGTCACACCTGTGTGATGTCACACCTGGGCTGTGTCACACTTGTGTGATGTCACACCTGTACCTGTGTCACACCTGTGTGATGTCACACCTGGGCTGTGTCACACCTGTGTGATGTCACACCTGAGCCATGTCACACCTGTGTGATGTCACACCTGGGATGTGTCACACCTGTATAACATCACACACCTGTCTCACCTGTGCAGGTGAACAGTCAGAACGTGGTGAAGGTGGGGCACCGGCAGGTGGTGAACAGGGACCTGGGCTGTGTCACACACCTGTCACACACCTGTGTGATGTCACACCTGGGCTGTGTCACACACCTGTCACACAGTGTCACACAGTGTCACACACCTGTCACACCTGTACGATGTCTCACCTGTCTCACCTGCGCAGGTGAACGGGCAGAACGTGGTGAAGGTGGGCCACCGGCAGGTGGTGAACATGGACCTGGGCTGTGTCACACACCTGTGTGATGTCACACAGTGTCACACACCTGTCACACACCTGTATAACGTCACACACCTGTCTCACCTGCGCAGGTGAACGGGCAGAACGTGGTGAAGGTGGGCCACCGGCAGGTGGTGAACATGATCCGGCAGGGCGGGAACAGCCTCGTGCTGAAGGTGGTGATGGTGACGCGGCACCCGGAGCCCCCCGAGGCACCCCGGCGCAGAGGTGAGCGCACCTGGGGACACCTGGGGGGGACAGGTACACCTGGGGGGGCACCTGAGGGCACCCAGAGCCCCCCGAGGCACCGCGGCGGAGAGGTGAGCGCACCTGGGGGGTACCTGGGGACACCTGGGGGGGACAGGTACACCTGGGGGGGACAGGTACACCTGTGAGGGCACCTGGGGGGCACCCGGAGCTCCCTGAGGCGCCCCGGCGCAGAGGTGAGCGCACCTGGGGACAGGTACACCTGGGGGGAACAGGTACACCTGGGGGGCACCTGTGAGGGCACCTAAGCGCACCTGGGGGGCACCTGGGGGTACCTAGGGAGCTCAGGTACACCTGGAGGGCAGCTGTGAGGGCACCTGGGGGACTCAGGTACACCTGTGAGGGCACCCGGAGCCCCCCGAGGCGCCGCGGCGCAGAGGTGAGCGCACCTGGGGGCACCTTTGGGGGCACCTGGGGGCACCTTTGGGGGCACCTGGGGGCACCTGGGGGGGCACCTGGAGGGGCTCAGGTACACCTGGAGGGGAACCTGAAGGCACCTGCAGGCAGGTACACCTGGGGGGAACAGGTACACCTGGGGGGCACCTGGAGGGCACCTGGGGGGACAGGTACACCTGAATTGTGGGCGTGGCCTCAATAGATTTTAATTTGTGGGCGGGGCCTCAGTTTATTTGAATGTGGGGCGGGGTCTCTTTAATATGAATTGTGGGCGGGGTTTCAGTTTATTTAATTTGTGGGCGGGGTCTCAATTAATTGTGGGCGGGGCCTCAGTTTATTTGAATGTTGGGCGGGGTCTCATAAATATGAATCATGGGCGGGGTCTCGGTTAATTTGAATATTGGGCGGGGTCTCGGTTGATTTAATTTGAGGGCGGGGTGTCGATTAATTGTGGGCGGAGTCTCCGTTTATTTAAATCTGGGGCGGGGTCTCACTTAATTTGAATTATGGGCGGGGTCTCAGTTAATTTGAATTATGGGCGTGGTCTCGTTTAATTTGAATTGTGGGCGGGGCCAGGGGGGTTGTGGGCGGTGCTTTAGTGAAATGTGGGTGTGGCCTCAGTTAATTTGAATTATGGGCGGGGTCTCAGTTAATTTGAATTATGGGCGGGGTCTCATCTGATTTAAATTGTGGGCGTGGTCTCAGTTGATTTAAATTGTGGGCGGGGTCTCATTAATATGAATTGTGGGCGGGGCCTCGGTGTACTTGAATTGTGGGCGGGGTCTGAGTTTATTTAAATTGTGGGCGGGGTCCTGAGTTGTGGGCGGTGTCTCCGTTGATTTAAATCCTGAGCGCGGTCTCGGTTAATTTGAATTATGGCCGTGGCCTCAGTTAATTTGAATTATGGGCATGGTCCCGGTTAATTTAAATTGTGGGCGTGGTCTCGGTTAATTTGAGTTATGGGCGTGGTCTCGGTTAATTTGAATTGTGGGCGGGGTCTCAATTAATTTGAATCATGGGCATGGTCTCAGTTAATTTGAATTTTGGGCGGGGTCCCAATTAATTGTGGGCGGGGTCTCCAGTGATTAAAATTGTGGGCGGGGTCTCAGTTAATTTGACATATGGGCGGGCTCTCATTAATATGAATTATGGGCGGGGCCTCGGTGTATTTGAATTTTGGGCGGGGTCTCAGCTGATTTAAATTGTGGGCGTGGCCTCAGTTAATTTGAATTATGGGCGGGGTCTCGGTTAATTTAAATTATGGGCGTGGTCTCGTTGAATTTGAATTGTGGGCGGGGCCAGGGGGGTTGTGGGCGGTGCTTTGTAGAAATGTGGGCGGGGTCTCGGTTAATTTAAATTATGGGCGGGGTCTCGGTTAATTTAAATAGTGGGCGGGTCTCAGTTAATTTGAATTATGGGCGGGGTCTCGGTTGATTCAAATGGTGGGCGGGGTCTCTATGACTGGTGGGCGGGGCCTGTGGGCAGAGTGGGCGTGGTCTGACGCAGCCCCGCCCCCAGCGGCCCCGCCCCCGCCGCGCCGCCTCCCGGCCCCGCCCATCTCGCTGCGCTCCAAGTCCATGACCTCGGAGCTGGAGGAGATGGGTGAGCGGGACCGGATTGGGGGAAATTCGGGGGGTTTTGGGCAATTTGGGGGGATTTTTGGGGGGGTTTTGGGGGGTTTGGGGGATTTTGGGGGGATTTGGGGAGATTTTTGCGGAATTTTAGGGGGGATTTTGGGGGATTTTGGGGGAATTTTGGGGGGTTTGGGGGATTTTAGGTGGTATTTTGGGGGGTATTCTGGAATTTTTGGGGGGAATTTGGGAAGTTTTGGGGGGTTTGGGGAATTTTAGGGGGGATTTTTTGGGATTTTGGGGGGTTTTGGGGGGTTTTGGGAATTTTAGGGGGAATTTTGGGGGATTTTTGTGGGGCTTGAGGGATTTTGGGGGGATTTTTGGGGGGATTTATGGGATTTTGGGGGGGATTTGGGGAAATTTTGGGGGGTTTGGGGGATTTTTGGGGATTTGGGGGAATTTTGGCGGGATTTTTAGGGGGGATTTTGGGGGATTTTGGGGGAATTTGGGGGAATTTGGGGGGTTTGGAAAATTTTAGGGGGTTTGGGGGATTTTTGGGGCGATTTTGGGGGATTTTTGGGGGGATTTTTAGGGGCTTTTGGCCAAATTTTGAGGGGATTTTTTGGGGTATTGGGGAATTTTAGGGGGAATTTTGGAGGGTTTGGGGAATTTTAGGATGAATTTTGGGGGGATTTTGGGGGGATTTTGGGGCATTTTTGGGGGGATTTCGGGGGATTTTGGGGAATTTTAGGGGGAATTTTGGGGGGTTTGGGGGATTTTAGGGGGAATTTTGGGGGGATTTTTAGGGGGTTTTGGCCAAATTTTGAGGAGATTTTTTGGGGTTTGAGGGATTTTTGGGGGGATTTATGGGATTTTTGGGGGAATTTGGGAAATTTTGGGGGGATTTTGGGGGGTTTGGTGGGAATTATAGGGGGTTTGGGGGATTTTGGGGGGAATTTTGGGGGAATTTAGGGGGATTTGGGGGGAATTTTAGGGGGAATTTGGGGGATTTTTGCAGGATTTATAAGGGGCATTTGGGGGAGATATGGGGCTTTTTTGGGGGGGATTTATGGGATTTTTGGGGGGATTTGGGGGATTTTTTGGGGGGGTTGAGGGATTTTTGGGGTGATTTTAGGGGGGTTTGGAGGATTGGGGGAATTTTGGGGGGTTGGGGGAATTTTGGGCAATTTTGAGGGGACTTTAGGGGAATTTTGGGGGGGTTTGGGGATTTTTGGGGGAATTTTGGTGATTTGGGGGGAATTCGGGAAATTTTGGGGGATTTTTGGGCATTTTGGGGGTCTGGGTGGGATTTTTGGGGACTTTTGGGAGATTTTTGGGGTCTCTGGGGTGGGGGGGGTGTGACACTTTGCTGACCTTTGACCTCTGACCTTTGACCTTTGACCTCCGGCCCCGCAGTGGAGAAGGGTGAGTGGGGGGGGGGCTCCGGACCCCCCCTGGGATTTTGGGAACCCCCAAAAAAATCTTTGGGACCCCCCAAAATCCCCCAAAATCCCCCAAATCCTCCCCAACCCTAAAAATTCTTCCAAAATCCCCCAAATTTCCCTCAAAAGTCCCAAATTTTCCGCAAAATTCTCCCAAATTTCCCCAAAAAGTTCCCAGAATTTCCCCAAAATTCTCCTCAAATCCCTCAAATTTCCCTCCAAATTTTTCAATATACCCAAAATTCCCCCAAATTTCCCCAAAATTCCCAATTTTTCCCAAATTTCCTCTAAATTTCCAAACATTTCCCCAAAATTCCCCCAAAATTCCTCCAAAAATCTCCTCTAATCCTCCAAATTTCCCTCCATTTTTTTTTCAATATTCCCAAAAATTTCCCCAAATTTCCCCAAAAATTCCCAATTTTTTTCCAAATTTCCCCAAAATTTCCCAAAATATCCCCACAAGTTCCCTAAAATTCCCTCAAAATTCTCATCAAATGCCCCAAATTTCCCTCCAATTTTTTTTCAATATTCCCAAAATCCCCCCTAATTTCCCCAAAAAATTCCCAAAATTCCCCCAAATTTCCCCCCAAAATTCCCAATTTTTCCCCAAATTCCCCAAAATTCCCCAAAATTCCCCAAATTTCCCAAAATTCCCCAAAATCCCCAAATTCCCCCCAATCCCGCCCCTCCCCCCTAACTCCTCTCGTGTCTCCCCAGTCTCCCCCTGGAAGAAACGGAGCGGTGAGTGACGCCCCTTGCACACTCATTGCACACTCGTTGCACACTCACCCATTGCACACCTACAGGACATTCCAGAGCCTTGCACACCCATCAAACACCCCTCGCACACCCCTTGCACACTTGTGAGAGGGGTTGTGTGGGTCTTGCACACTCATTTCGCACTCATTGAACACTCATTGCACACTCACTCATTGCACACCCACGGGACATTTCAGAGCCTTGCACACTCATCAAACAGCCCTTGCACACTGGTGAAAGGGGTTGTTTGGATCTTGCACACTCATTTCACTCTCATTGCACTCCCATGGGACGTTCCGGAGCTTTCCACACCCCTTGCACACTTGTGAGAGGGTTTGTGTGGGTCTTGCACACTCATTGGTCACTCACTGAACACTCATTGCACACTCATTGCACACCCACAGGACATTCCGGAGCCTCACACACTCATCAAACACCCCTTGCACACTCATCAAAGGGTTTGTATGGGCCTTGCACACTCATTGCACACTCATTGAACACTCGTTGCACACTCATTGCACACCTACAGAGCATTCCAGAGCCTTGCACACCCATCAAACACCCCTTGCACGCCCCTTGCACACTGGTGAAAGGGGTTGTTTGGACCTTGCACACCCCTTGCACACTTGTGAGAGGGTTTGTGTGGGTCTTGCACACTCATTTCACTCTCATTGCACTCCCATGGGACGTTCCAGAGCCTTGCACACTTGTGAAAGGGCTTCTTTGGACCTTGCACACTCATTGCACACTCGTTGCACACTCATTGCACACCCACGGGACGTTCTGGAGCCCTGCACACCCATCAAACACCCTTGCACACTTGTGAAAGGGGCTGAGTGGGCCTTGCACACTCATTGCACACCCATGGGATGTTCCGGAGCCTTGCACACCTCTTGCACAACTGTGAGAGGGGTTGTACAGGCCTTGCACACTCATTGCACACTCATTGCACACCCCCAGGACATTTCAGAGCCTTGCACACCCATCAAACACCCCTTGCACACTTGTGAGAGGGGTTGTGTGGGCCTTGCAAACCCATTGCACACTCATTGCACACTCATTGCACACCCACAGAGCATTCCAGAGCCTTGCACACTCATCAAGCACCCCTTGCACACTCAGTGCACTCTCATTGCACACTCATGGAACCTTCCAGAGCCTTGCACACCTCTTGCACACTCATCGTGCGCTAAAGGAACCTTCCAGAGCCTTGCACACTCATTAAACAGCATTTTAAGGCCTTGCACGCTCACCCAAATCCCCGTGCAAGGATTTCCACACTCGCTGCAGATCCCTTCGAAGGCTTTGTGCAGCCCTTGCACACTCATGGAACTTTCTGGAGCCTTGCACACTCATCAGACACTCTATAAAGGCCTTGCACACTCATTGCACACCTGTGCGAGGGTTTGTATGGGCCTTGCACACTCATCAAACACCCTGTGAGGGGTTCATACACCCCTTGCACACTCATTGCACGGCCACAGAACCTTTGCACGCTCATCCAGACCCTGTTAGAGGCCGTGGGCGGTCATTGCACACTCATTGCACACTCATTGCACACTCATTGCACACTCATTGCACACTCAGGCACCCTCCCCAGGGCCTTGCACACTCATTCAGCTCCCCGTGCAAGGCTTTGCACGCTCATCACAAATCCTTGAAAGGTTTTGTACGGGCCTTGCACACTCATTGCACACTCATCGCACACTCATTGCACACTCATTGCACACTCACAGAACCTTCCGCAGCCTTGCACACTCAGCAATTCCCCGTGCAAGGATTTGCACACTCATGATTTGCACACCCAGACCTTTGCACACTCATTTCCCCCCCCTAGCATCCAAAACCCCCCAAAATCCCCCCAAAAATCCCCAAAATTCCCCCAAAATTCCCCCAGAATTCCCAAATTTTCCCAAAATTCCCCCAAATCCCCCCAAAATTCCCCCAAAATTCCCAAATTCCCCCAAAATCTCTCTGAGATCCCCCCCAAAATTCCCAAATTCCTCCAAAATCCCCCCAAAATCCCTTCAGGAGCCCCCAAAAATAAAAAAAAAAGTCCCCCCAAAACCTCCCCGAGACCCCCCAAAATTCCCCCAGAATTCCCAAATTTTCCCAAAATTCCCCCAAATCCCCCCAAAATTCCCAAATCCCTCCCAAAATACCCCCCAAAATTCCCAAATTTTCCCAAAACCCCCCCAAAATTCCTCCCAAATTCCCCAAAATCCTCCCAGAATTCCCAAATTTTCCCAAAGTTCCCCCAAATCCCACAAAATCTCCCTGAGACCCCCCAAAATCCCCAAATCTTCCCAAAATCCCCCCCAAATCCCTTCGGGACCCCCAAAAACCTCCACAATACTCCCCAAAATTCCTCTGGGACCCCCTAAAATTCCTAAATCCCCCCAAAAAATTCCCCCAAAATTCCCCCAAAATCCCCCCAGGATTCCCCCAAAATCCCTCTGGGACCCCCCCAAATCTCCCTGGGACCCCCAAAACTCTCTCAAGACCCCCCAAAATCCCCCCAAGACCCCCCAAAAACCCTCTGGGACCCCCCAAATCTATGTGGGACCCCCCAAATCCTTCCAGGACCCCCCCCAAATTCCCCTGGGACCCCCAAAACTCTCTCAAGACCCCCCGAAATCCCCCCAGGACCCCCTAAAATCCCCCCAAGACCCCCCAAAAACCCTCTGGGACCCCCCAAATCTTTATGGGACCCCCCAAAATTCCCCCAAAATCCCCCCAGGACCCCCCCCAAATCTCTGTGGGACCCCCAAAATCCTTCTGGGACCCCCCAAATCCCCCCAAGAGCCCCTCAAATCTTTGTGGGAGCCCCCAAAATCCTCCCCAAATCCCCCCAGGACCCCCCCCAAATCTTCGTGGGACCCCCCCCAAAATCCCTCTGGGACCCCCCAAAATCCCTCTGGGACCCCCCAAAATCCCTCTGGGAACCCCCAAAATCCCCCCAGGGCCCCCCAAAATCCCCCCAGGCCCCCCCAAACCCCTCTGACCTCTCCCCCCCCCAGATTTTGACCCCTCCTCGAGCACCGAGAAGAAGAGAACCGTCTATCAGATGGCGCTCAGTGAGTGGGGGGCTTGGGGGGTTTTGGGGGGTCCCGGGGGGGGTTTGGGGGGTCCCGGGGGGGATTTTGGGGGTCCTGAGGGGATTTTGGGGGGTCCTAGGTGAGGTTTGGGGGGGTCACAGGGGGGTTTGGGGGGGTCCCTGGGGGGGGTCCTGAGGGGTTTTGGGGGGTCCCAGGGGGATTTTGGGGGGTCCCAGGTGGGGTTTGGGGGGTCCCAAGTGGGATTTTGGGGGTCCCTGGGGGGGTCCTGAATAGATTTGGGGCAATTTTGGGGGTCCCAGGGGGGATTTGGGGGGGTCCTGGGGGGATTTCGGGGGGTCCCGGGGGGGATTTTGGGGGGTCCTGGGGGGGTTTGGGGGATGCCGGGGGGGTTTCGGGGTCACAGGTGGAGTTTCGGGGGTCCCGGGAGGATTTTGGGGGGTCCTGAGGGGATTTTGGGGGGGTCCTGGGGGGGTTTCGGGGGTCACGAAGGGATTTTGGGGGGTCCCTGGGGGGTTTTGTGGGGTCCCAGGGCGATTTTGGGGGGTCCTGGGGAGTCCTGAGGGGTTTTGGGGGGTCCCAGGGGGGGTTTGGGGGGTCCTGATGGGATTTTGGGGGGTCTTGGGGGGATTTTGGGGGGTCCCATAAAGATTTGGGGGATTCCAGAGGGATTTGGGGGGGTCCTGGAGGGATTTTAGGGGGTCTCGGGGGAGGTTTGGGGAACCCAGGTGGGGTTTGGGGTGTCCCAGGGGAGGTTTGGGGGGGTCCCAGATGGATTTTGGGGGTCCTGAGGGGTTTTGGGGGGTCCCGGGGGGGGTTTGGGGGGTCCCAGGGGGATTTGGGGGGATCCCGGGGGGGTTTGGGGCGTCCTGAGGGGATTTTGGGGGTCCCTGGGGGGGGTCCTGAATGGATTTGGGGGGATTATTGGGGGTCCCGGGAGGATTTTGGGGGTCCTGAGGGGATTTTGGGGGGTCCCAGGGGAATTTTGGGGGGTCCTGGGGGGATTTTGGGGTCCCTGGGGGATTTTGGGGGGTCCCAGGGGGATTTTGGGGGGTCCCATAAGGATTTGAGGGATTCCAGAGGGATTTGGGGGGATCCCAGGTGGGATTTTAGGGGGTCTCGGGGGAGGTTTGGGGAACCCAGATGGGGTTTGGGGTGTCCCAGGGGAGGTTTGGGGGGTCCCGGGACGATTTTGGGGGGTCCTGGGGGGTTTTGAGGAGTCCGGGGGGGGATTCTGGGGGTCCTGAGGGGATTTTGGGGGGTCCTAGGTGAGGTTTGGGGGGGTCACAGGGAGGTTTGGGGGGTCCCTGGGGGGGTCCTGAGGGGTTTTGGGGGGTTTGAGGAGTCCTGGGGGAGATTTTGGGGGTCCTGAGGGGATTTTGGGGGGGTCCCAGGGCGATTTTGGGGGGTCCTGGGGAGTCCTGAGGGGTTTTGGGGGATTTTGAGGTGGTTTTGGGGGGTCCTGAGGGGATTTTGGGGGGTCCCAGGTAGGGTTTGGGGGGTCCTGGGGGGGGGTTTGGGGGGTCCCGGAGGGATTTTGGGGGGTCTTGGGGGGATATTGGGGGGTCCCATAAAGATTTGGGGGATTCCAGAGGGATTTGGGGGGGTCCTGGGGGGATTTTAGGGGGTCCCAGGGGGATTTGGGGGGTCCCAGGTGGGATTTTGGGGGGTCCTGGGGGAGGTTTGGGGAGACCCAGGGGGGATTCTGGGGGGTCCTGAGGGGATTTTGGGGGGTCCTGGAGGGGGTTTGGGGAGACCCAGGGGGGATTCTGGGGGGTCCTGAGGGGATTTTGGGGGTCCCTGGGGGGGTCCTGAAAGGATTTTGGGGGTCCCACGGGGGGGTTTGGGGGGTCCCGGGGGGATTTTGGGGGAATTTTTTTTGATTTTTGGGGGGATTTTTGGGGATTTTTTGGCGGGTTTTTGGGGTGATTTTGGGGTTTATTTGGGGGGATTTTTGGGGTTTTTTTTGGGTGATTTTTGGGGTGATTTCGGGGGGTTTCAGGGTCGGGACCCCTCCCCAAATTCCCTCCTCCCCTCAGACAACCTCGATGAGATTTGGGGTTAGAGGGAGGATTTTGGGGGGATTTTGGGTGAATATTTTGGAATTTCTTTTGGTTTTTTGGGGTTTTTTTGGGGTATTTTGGGGTGATTTTTGGGGTGATTTCGGTGGGTTTTGGGGTCGGGACCCCTCCCCAAATTCCCCTCCCCGCCTCAGACAAGCTGGACACGATTTGGGGTCAGGGGGTTCCTGGGGAGGTTTTGGGGGTGAATTTATTGGGATTTTTTGGGGGATTTTTTTGGGGGATTTTATGGGAATTTTTGAGGTGTTTTTTGGGGTGATTTCGGGGGTTTTTGGGGTCGGGACCCCTCCCCAAATTCCCCTCCCCCCCCTCAGACAACCTAGATGAAATTCGGGGTGGAGGAGGATTTCGGGTGAATTTTTTGGGATATTTTTTTGGTTTTTGAGGGAATTTTTTTGGGGTTTTTTGGGGGAATTTTTTTGGGTGATTTTTGGGGTGATTTCGGGGGGTTTTGGGGTCAAGACCCCTCCCCAAATTCCCCTCCCCCCCCTCAGACAAGCTGGACGTGATTTGGGGTGGGGGAGGATTTTGGGGGAATTTTGGGGGATTTTTTGGGGATTTTTTTGGCGAATTTTTGGGGTTTTGAGGGGAATTTTTTTGGGGGGATTTTTGGGGTGATTTCGGGGGGTTTGGGGGTCGGGACCCCTCCCCAAATTCCCCTTCTCCCCCCCCCAGACAAGCTGGACGCGATTTTGGGTCAGGGGGTTCCTGGGGAGGTTTTTGGGGTGAATTTATTGGGAATTTTTTGGGAATTTTTTTGGGATTTTTTGGGGGTGATTTTTGGGGTGATTTCGGGGGGTTTCGGGATCAAGACCCCTCCCCAAATTCCCCTCCCCCCCCTCAGACAACCTAGATGAGATTTGGGGTGGGGGATGATTTTGGGTGAATTTTTTGGGAATTTTTTTGGGGGTATTTTGGGGTGATTTTTGGGGTAATTTCGGAGTGATTTTTGGGGTGATTTCGGGGGGTTTCGGGATCAAGACCCCTCCCCAAATTCCCCCATCCCCCCCCAGACAAGCTGGACGAGATTTGGGGTGGATGAGGATTTTGGGGGGATTTTTGGGTGAATTTTTGGGATTTTTTTGGGGTTTTTTGGGGTGATTTTTGGGCTGATTTTTGGGGTGATTTCGGGGGTTTTTGGGATCAAGACCCCTCCCCAAATTCCCCCATCCCCCCCCCTCAGACAAGCTGGACGAGATTTTGGGTCAGGGGGTTCCTGGGGAGGTTTTTGGGGTGAATTTATTGGGATTTTCTGGGAATTTTTTGGGGGGATTTTGGGGGTGATTTTTGGGGTGATTTTGGGGGGTTTTGGGGTCGGGACCCCTCCCCAAATTCACCTCCCCTTCCCCAGACAAGCTGGACACGATTTGGGGTGGGGGAGGATTTTGGGGTGATTTTTGGGTGAATTTTTTGGGAATTTTTTGGGGGTTTTTGGGGGATTTTTTGGGGGTATTTTGGGGTGATTTCGGGGGTTTTTGGGGTCGGGACCCCTCCCCAATTCCCCCCTCCCCCCCCAGACAAGCTGGACGCGATTTGGGGTCAGGGGGAGGATTTTGGGGTGATTTTTGGGTGAATTTATTGGGATTTTTTGGGGGATTTTTTGGGGTGATTTTTGGGGTTTTTTTGGGGGTGATTTTGGGGTTTTTTGGGGGGTGATTTTTGGGGTGATTTCGGGGGGTTTTGGGGGTCGGGACCCCTCCCCAAATTCCCTCCCCCCCCTCAGACAACCTTGATGAGATTTGGGGTGGGGGAGGATTTTGGGGGAATTTTGGGGGATTTTTTGGGGTTTTTTGGGTGAATTTTTGAGGAATTTTTTGGGGTATTTTGGGGTTTTTTTGGGGTGATTTTTGGGGTGATTTCGGGGGGTTTCGGGATCAAGACCCCTCCCCAAATTCCCCTCCCCCCCCAGACAAGCTGGACGGGATTTGGGGTGGGGGAGGTTTTTGGGGGAATTTTTTGGGAATTTTTTGGGAATTCTTTGGGTTTTTTGGGGGAATTTTTTGGGGATTCTTTGGGGTTTCTTTGGGGTGATTTTTGGGGTGATTTCGGTGGGTTTCGGGATCAAGACCCCTCCCCAAATTCCCCTCCCCCCCCCCCCAGACAAGCTGGACGCTATTTGGGGTCAGGGGTTCCTGGGGAGGTTTTTGGGGTGAATTTTTTTGGGATTTTTTCGGGATTTTTTGGGGGTTTTGAGGGGAATTTTTTGGGGATTTTTGGGGGTGATTTTTGGGGTGATTTCGGTGGGTTTCGGGATCAAGACCCCTCCCCAAATTCCCCTCTTTCCCCCCAGACAAGCTGGACGCGATTGGGGGCGGGGGATGATTTTGGGTGAATTTTTTGGGATTTTTTTTTTGGTTTTTGAGGGAATTTTTTGGGGTTTTTTGGGGTTTTTCTGGGGTGATTTTTGGGGTGATTTCGGGGGGTTTGGGGTCGGGACCCCTCCCCAAATTCCCTCCTCCCCTCAGACAACCTTGATGAGATTTGGGGTGGGGGAGGATTTTTGGGGGATTTTTGGGTGAATTTTTTGGGAATTTTTTTGGGGTTTTTGGGGTGATTTTGGGGTGATTTTTGGGGTGATTTCGGGGGGTTTCGGGATCAAGACCCCTCCCCAATTTCCCCTCCCCCCAGACAAGCTGGACGAGATTCGGGGTGGGGGAGGATTTTGGGTGAATTTATTGGGATTTTTTGGGGGTTTTTTTGGGGAATTTTTTGGGGGTTTTTGGGGTTTTTTTGGGGTGATTTTTGGGGTGATTTCGGGGGTTTTTGGGATCAAGACCCCTCCCCAAATTCCCCTCCCCCCCCCCAGACAAGCTGGACGCGATTGGGGGCGGGGAAGGATTTTGGGGGGATTTTTGGGTGAATTTTTGAGGAATTTTTTGGGGTTTTTTGGGAATTTTTTGGGGTGATTTTTGGGGTGATTTCGGGGGTTTTTGGGGTCAGGACCCCTCCCCAAATTCCCCCATCCCCCCCCAGACAAGCTGGACGCGATTTGGGGTCAGGGGGTTCCTGGGGAGGTTTTGGGGTGAATTTTTGGGATTTTTTTGGGGTTTTTTTGGGGAATTTTTTGGGGGTTTTGAGGGGAATTTTTTGGGGTTATTTTTGGGGTGATTTCGGTGGGTTTTGGGATCAAGACCCCTCCCCAAATTCCCCCCCCCCAGAAAAGCTGGATGCGATTTTGGGTCAGGGGGTTCCTGGGGAGGTTTTTGGGTGAATTTTTTGGGATTTTTTGGGGGGTTTTGGGGGGAATTTTTTGGGATTTTTTTTTGGTTTTTTGGGTGATTTTTGGGGTAATTTCGGGAGTTTTTGGGGTCGGGACCCCTCCCCAAATTCCCCTCCCCCCAGACAAGCTGGACGAGATCCTGGCGGCCGCCCAGCAGAGCATCAGTGCGGGGGAGGGGTCGGGGGTCGGAGCCCCCCCGGGCCGGGCCGGGCGGCCCAAAGGATTCTTCAGCCCCGAGGTCAGTTTGGGGCGAATTCCGGAGATTTTGGGAAATTTGGGGAAATTGGGGAATTTGGGGGGGATTTGGGGGAAATTTGGGGGAAATTTGGGGAAAGTTGGGTAAAATTTGGGGAAAGTTTGGGGAAAAATTTAGGGAAATTTTGGGGGAAATTTAGGGAAATTTGGGGAAAATTTGTGGAAAATTTGGGGGAAAATTGGGGAAATTTTGGGGAAATTTGGTTAAAATTTTGGGGAATTCAGGGGACTTTGGGGCAATTTGGGCAAAATTTGGGTGGGAAATTCAGGGGAGTTGGGGCAAATTTGGGGAATTTTGGGTGAATTTCAGGGAAAATTTGGGGGCAAAATTGGGGAATATTGGGGGAAATTTGGGTGAAATTTGGGGAAAGTTTGGGGAAATTTATAAAATTTTGGGGGAAATTTGGGGAAAATTTGGGGAAAATTTGGGGAAATTTTGAGGGAAATTTTGGGAAAATGTGGGGAAATTATGGGGAAAATTTGGGTAAAATTTCGGGGAATTCAGGGGAATTTGGGCAAAATTTGTGGCAATTTGGGCAAAATTTGGGTGGGAAATTCAGGGTAGATGGGGCAAATTTTGGGAATTTTGGGTGAATTTCAGGGAAAATTTGGGTGCAAAATTGGGGAACATTGGGGGAAATTTGGGTAAAATTTAGGGAAAGTTTGGGGAAAAAAATTGGGGAAAATTGGGGAAAATTTGGGGAAATTTGGGGAAGTTTGGGGTAAAATGTGGGAGAAATTTGGGGCAATTTGGGGAAAATTTGGGTGGGAAATTGAGGGCAGTTGGGGAAAATTTGGGTAAAATTTGGGGAAATTTTGGGGGAAATTTGGGAAAAATTTGGGGGGATTTAGGCAAAATTTGGGGGGATTTGGGCAAATTTGGGAGAAAATTTCAGGACAAATTTGGGGAAAATTGGGGTTGAAATTCAAGGGAATTTGGGCAAATTTGGGAGAAATTTGGGTGGGAAATTCAAGGGAATTTGGACGAATTTAGGGAGAAATTTGGGTGAAATTTGGGGAAAATTGAGGGGAATTTAGGTAAAAATTTGGGGGAATTTCAGGGAAAAATCAGGGAAATTTTAGAGTAAGTTTGGGGACAATGGGGGAAATTGGGAAATTCTGGGGAAAATTTGGGGAAAATTTTGGGAAATTTGGGGTAAAATTTGGGGGAAATCCAGGGGGAAATTTGGGTTGAATTTGGGGGAATATTGGGGAAAATGTGGGGGAAATTTGGGGAAAATTTGGGTGAAAATTGGGGAAAATCTGAGGGAAATTTGGGGGAAATTGAGGTGAAATTTGAGGAAATTTGGGCAGAATTCAGGGAAAAATTTGGGGGAAATTTGGGCTGAATTTGGGGGAATTTGGGCTGAATTATTGGGAAATTTGGGCTGAATTTGGGGGAAATTTGCGGGAAATTTGGGGGAAATCTGGGCTGAATTTGGGGAATATTGGGGAAATTTGGGTGAAAATTTGGGGAAAATTGAGGGAACATTTGGGGAAAATCTGAGGGAAATTTGGGGGAATTAGGCTGAAATTTGGGCGGATTCAGGTGAAATGTGAGGGAAATTTGAGGGAAATTGAGGTGAAATTTGAGGAAATTCGGGCAGAATTCAGGGCAAAAATTGGGGGACATTTGGGCAGAATTTGGGTGAAATTTGGGCAGAATTTGGGGAATATTGGGGAAAATTTGGGTGAAATTTAGGGAAATGTGGGGAAAATCTGAGGGAAATTTGGGGGGATTTTGGTGAAATTTGAGGAAATTCGGGCAGAATTCAGGGAAAATTTGGGGGAAATTTGGGTGAAATTTTGGGAAAATGTGGATGAAAATTGGAGAAAATTTGGGTGAAATTCAGGTGAAATTTGGGTGAAAATTTGAGTGAAATTTTGGGAAAATTTTGGGAAAATGTGGGTGAAAATTGGAGAAAATTTGGGTGAAATTCGGGTGAAATTTGGGTGAAAATTTGAGTGAAAATTTGAGTGAAAATTTGAGTGAAATTTTGGGAAAATTTTGGGGAAATTTGGGGAAAATTTGAGAAAATTTGGGGGAAATTTGGGTGAAATTTTGGGGTTTCCCGTCTGAATTTGGGGGTCCCCCCCCCCCTTTTCAGGGTCCCTTCGAGCGGCCGCTGCTGCCCCCGGGACCCCCCCACGGGCTGATGCTGCGCCAGAAATCCATCGGTGGGTGGAAAAATACCAAAAATAATGAAAATTAACCCAAAAAAAATACTGAAAAAAAAAACCAAAAAAATACTGAAAAAAACCCAAAAAATGCTGGAAAAAAACCCCAAAAAATGCTGGAAAAAATCCCAAAAAATACTGGAAAAAACCCAAAATTGCTGGAAAAAAACCCCAAAAAATCCTGAGAAACTCCCCAAAAAATGCTGGAAAAAAACCCAAAAAATGCTGGAAAAAAAACCCCAAAAAATCCTGGAAAAAAAACACCAAAAAATCCTGAAAAGCTCCTCGAAAAAATCCTGAGAAACTCCCCCAAAAAATCCTGGAAAAAAAAAAAAAAAAATCCTGAAAAAACCAAAAGAATTCTGGAAAAAAAACCCAAAAAAATTCTGGGGGAAAAAAAAAAAAAAAATCCTGAGAAACTCCCTGAAAAATCCTGGGAAAAAACCCAAAAAATGCTGGAAAAAACCACCAAAAAGTCCTGAGAAACTTTCCCAAAAAATCCTGGAAAAAAAACCCCAAAATCCTGGAAAAAAACACCAAAAGATCCTGAAAAAAAACCACCAAAAAATCCTGGAAAAAACCCTAAAAATCCTGAGAAACTTCCCCAAAAATCCTGGAAAAAAACCCAAAAAATCATGGAAAAAAACCACCAAAAAATCCTGAAAAAACCCAAAAAATTCTGAAAAATGCCCCCCAAAAATCCTGAAAAAATCCTGAAAAAAACCAAAAAATTCTGAAAAAAACTCCCAAAAAATCCTTAAAAATCCCAAAAAATCCTGAAAAAATTTCCAGAAATTTCTTTGGGTTTTTTTGTTGGGTTTTTTTTGGGGTTTTTCGAGCGGTTTTGGGGCATTTTTGGTTTTTTGTTGGTTTTTTGGGTTTTTTAGACGATTTTGGGCCTTTTTTTGGTTTTTATTATTTTGGTGATTTTTGTTTGTTTGATTTTTGCTTTTGGGGCTTTTTTAGGCAGTTTTGGGGCTTTTTTGTTCTTTTGGGATTTTTTTGTTTTGATTTTTTGGGGTTTTTTTGGCGATTTTGGGGCATTTTTGGGTTTTGTTGTTTTGGGGAATTTTGTTCGGTTGGGTTTGGATTTTTGGGGGTTTTTTAGGCGATTTTGGGCCTTTTCAGGTTTTTATTATTTTGGTGATTTTTGTTTGTTTGATTTTTGCTTTTTGGGGTTTTTTGAGGGATTTTGGGGCTTTTTTGTTGCTTTGGGGTTGGGGTTTTTTTGTGGGGTTTTGGGGCTTTTTTGGTTTCTGGGGGTTTTTTTTTGTTTGGTTTTCGGGGGGGGTTTGGCAATTTTGGGGCATTTTTGGTTTTGTTGTTTTGGGGGATTTTGTTCGGTTGGGTTTGGATTTTTGGGGGTTTTTTTTGGCGATTTTTGGGCTTTTTTGTTCATTTGGGGGGTTTTTGTTTTGGTTTTTTGGGGTTTTTTGAGAGGTTTTGGGGCTTTTTTGTTATTTTAGGGTTTGGGGCTTTTTTGGTTTTTCGCTTTGGGGGTTTTGGGTTTTATTTTTTTTTTGAGAGATTTTGGGGCTTTTTTGGTTTCGTTGGTTTGGGGCATTTTTTCATTTGGGGCTTTTTTTGAGCGGCTTTGGGTTTTTGGGGTTTTTTTGGGTTTTTCGAGAGGTTTTGGGGCTTTTTTGGTTTTTTGTTATTTTTGGGGGGTTTTTTAGACGATTTTGGGGCTTTTCTGGTTTTTATTATTTTGGTGATTTTTGTTTGTTTCATTTTTGCTTGTTGGGTTTTTTTTAGGTGATTTTGGGGCTTTTTTGTTCTTTTGGGTTTTTTTCTTTTGTTTTTTTTGGGTTTTTCGAGAGGTTTTGGGGCTTTTTTGTTATTTTGGGTTTTTTGGGGATTTTTTGTGGGGTTTTGGGGCTTTTTTGGTTTTTTGTTCTTTTTTGGGTTTTTCAAGCGGTTTTGGGGCTTTTTGGTTCTTTTGGGGTTTTTTTTGTTATGATTTTTGGTTTTTTTTGGCGATTTTGGGCCTTTTCTGGTTTTTATTATTTTGGTGATTTTTGTTTGTTCGCTCAATTTTTGATTTTTGGGTTTTTTTCAGCGATTTTGGGGCTTTTTGTTTGGTTTTTTTTTTTGTTCTTTTGGGGTTTTGTTTGGATTTTTGGGATTTTTTGGGGTGTTTTTGGGATTTCTTTGTTTGTTTGGTTTTTTTTTTCTTTGGTTTTGGTTTGGATTTTTGGGGAGTTTTCTGCGCTTTTTTTCTGTTTTTTTTACTTTTCCCCGTTGATTTCCGGGCAGATTTTAACCCTTTCCGTGCCGAACCCATTCACCCTTTGAAATCCAGAATTAATCAATCATTCCTTTTTCCTTTTTCCATAAATAATTTTAATTTTCTTTCCATCACTAATTTTTATATTTTTTCCATAAATAACTTTAATTTTTATACTTTTTCTATAACTAATTTTATATTTTTTCCCATAATTAATTTTAATTTTTTTTTTCCATAACTAATTTGAATTTTTTTCCATAACTAATTTTATTTTTTCCCATAACTAATTTTAATTTTTATATTTTTCCATACCTAATTTTAAATTTTTTCCCATAACTAACTTTAATTTTCATATTTTTCCCCATAACTAATTTTAATTTTTCCCCATAACTAACATTAATTTTTATTTTTTTTCCATAACTAATTTTAATTTTTATATTTTTCCCATAACTAATTTGAATTTTTTCCCATAACTAACTTTAATGTTTATATTTATTTCCCATTACTAATTTTAATTTTAATATTTTTTCCCATAATTCATTTTAATTTTTTCCCATAACTAATTTTAGGTTTTTTTCCCATAACTAACTTTAATGTTTATATTTATTTCCCATAACTAATTTTAACTTTTTCCCAATAACTAATTTTAATTTTTTCCCATAACTAATTTTATTTTTTAACTTTTTTCCCATAACTAATTTTAATTTTTTCCCGTAACTAATGTTAATTTTTTCCCATATCTAATTTTTATTTTTTTTCCATAACTAATTTTTTTCCCATAACTAATTTTAATTTTTTCCCCATAACTAATTTTAATGTCTATATGTATTCCCCATAACTAATTTTAATTTTTCCCATAACTAATTTTAAATTTTTTTTTTCCCCATACCTAATTTTAATTTTTTCCCCATAACTAACTTGAATGTTTATATTTATTTCCCATAACTAATTTTAATTTTTTTCTCCATAACTAATTTTAATTTTTACATATTTTGTCCTATAACAAACTTTAATTTTTTTCCCACAACTAATTTTAATTTTCCCCCATAACTAACTTTAATTTTAATGCTTTTTTCCTATAACTAACTTTAATGTTTTTACCAATAACTAATTTTAATTTGTTTCCTATAACTAATTTTAATTTTCTTATTTTTCCCCATAACTAATATTAATTTTTCCCATAACTAATTTTAATTTTTTTTTCCCATAACTAATTTTAATTTTTATATATTTATTTCCCATAACTAATTTTAATTTTTATATATTTATTTCCCATAACTAATTTTAATTTTTATATATTTATTTCCCATAACTAATTTTATTTTTTTCCCATAACTAATTTTATTTTTTAACTTTTTCCCATAACTAATTTTAATTTTTTCCATAACTAAATTTAATTTTTTCCCATCACTAATTTTATTTTTAAACTTTTTCCCATAACTAAATTGAATTTTATTCCATAACTCATTTTTTCCCATAACTAACTTTAATTTTTTCCATAACTAATTTTAATTTTCATATTTTTTTCCCATAACTAATTTGAATTTTTTCCCATTACAAACTTTAATTTTTTCCCATACCTAATTTGAATTTTTCCCCATAACTAATTTTAATGTTTATATTTATTTCTCATTACTAATTTTAATTTTTATATTTTTTCCCATAACTAATTTTAATTTTTATATTTTTTCCCATAACTAATTTTAATTTTTCCCATAACTAATTTTAATTGTTTCCCATAACTAATTTTAATTGTTTCCCATAACTAATTTTAACTTTTCCCCATAACTAATTTTAATGTTTATATTTATTCCCCATAACTAATATTAATTTTTTCCATAACTATATTTAATTTTTCCCCATAACTAATTTGAATTTTTATATATTTATTTCCCATAACTAATTTTAATTTTTTCCCATTACAAACTTTAATTTTTTCCCATAACTAATTTTAATTTTCCCCCATAACTAACTTTTTTTTCCCCATACCTAATTTTAATTTTTTTCCCATAACTAATTTTTATTTTTATATTTTTTCCCCATAACTAATTGAATTTTTATATTTATTTCCATAACTACTCACAATTTTTATATTTTTTTTCATATCTAATTTTAATTGTTTTCCGTAACTAATTTTAGGGTTTTTTCCGTAACTAATTTTTTCCATAACTAATTTTAATATTTATATTCATTTCCCATAACTAACTTTAATGTCTATATGCATTCCCATACCTAATGTTAATTAATTAACCCTTTCCTTCCCCCCTGTCTCTGCGCAGGCGCGGCGGACGCGGCCCCGCCCCCCCATCCGCCAGCACAGCGCCCCCTGCTGGCGCCGCCCGGGAGCCGCTTCCTGCGGAGCCTCTCGGTGCCGGGCCCGGAGGAGATCCCCCCTCCCCCCACCACCTCCCCCCCCGAGCCCCCCTACAGCACCCCGGGGGGGGGGGGGGGGGGGGGACCCCCCCCTGGCGCCTCTACAACCTCGGGGGGGGTGGGGGAGGGGCGGGGGGCGGCGGTGGGGGAGGGGCGCTGCTGCTGGGGGGTCCCCCCAAGGCGCTGCGGAGGAAGGGGCCGCTGGTGAAGCAGCCCAAGGTGGAGGGGGAGGGGGGTGGGGGAGGGGCGGAGAAGAGCTCTATCGCGATACCCACGATAGTGGTCAAGGCCCCCTCCACCTCCAGCTCCGGCCGCAGCAGCCGCGGCAGCAGCGTGGAGGCCGAGGGGGGAGGGGCGGGGGGGGGCGGCGCCCCCGATGGGGGGGGAGGGGGAGGTGGGGGAGGGGCTGGAGGGGGTGGGGGAGGGTCTTCTGGGGGCGCCCCTCCCCCCCCCGATTTCACCTCGCAGTTCGGGGCGGCGCTGGTGGGGGCGGGGCGGAGGGAGTGGGGGGCGGGGCGGCGCTCGGCGCTCTTCCTCAGCACCGAGGAGGAGGAGGAGGGGGGGGGAGGGGCGCTGGGGGGTGGGGGAGGGGCAGGGGGAGGGTTGGGCCCCCCCTCCCCCCGCCTGCGCCACTCCAAAAGCATCGACGAGGCGATGTTCGCGGCGGGGGGGGGAGGGGCAGGGGGAGGGGGTGGGGGAGGGGAGGCGTTCCCCGCCCCCACCCGCGGCTACCGAGGGGCGAGGGGGGGTGGGCAAGGCGGGGGGAGGGGCAGCGCCTTCAGCAGCGTGGGGGGAGGGGCGGGAGGGGCGGCCCCTCCCCCACCTCTGCACGCGGGGGCGGTTCCGGTCCATCCCAGTTTGGGGGGGGTCCATCCCAGTTTGGGGGGGGTCCATCCCAGTATGAGCCCGGTCCATCCCAGTCTGAGCCCCACGCGCGCCCCTCCCCCCCCCGGCGGCTGCCGCGTCCTCCCCCCCGCCGCCCCCTCCCCCTTCCCCCTGGGGGGGCTCCACGGGGGTCTCCCCCACCCCCTCCACGCCCCTCCCCCCGCCGGCACCGCCCCCTCCCCCCTCCACCCCAGCCTGGGGGGGATGGGCTCCCCTTTACCCGTGGGGGGAGGGGTCCGCTCCCTCCCCCTTTTGGGGGGGGTCTCCCCCACCCTCCACCTCTCCGGCCCCCCCACCTTACCCAAAACGCCCCCTCCCCAAAAACTGCCCCCCACCCCCTCCAGCCCCTCCCGCCGGCCCCTCCCCCAACCCTGGGCCGCCCCTCCCCCCCCCCGCGAGCCGCGTCCGCTTCTCGGACCCCCCCGGGGCGGGGGTCGCGGGGGGGGGGGGTGGTGGGGGAGGGGCGGGCGGGGGTCTCCTGTCCCTTCCCCCCCCCGCCCCTTCGGTGGACGCGGACGAGGAGCTGCTGCTGGCCGAGCCCCTCCCCCCCCCGCTGGAATTCGCCAACAGCTTCGAGCCCCCTCCCCCCCCGCCGCCCCTCCCCCACCCGCGGGAGGCCGCCCCTCCCCCACCCGCGGGCCCGGGGGACTCGGCCGCCTCCAGCCTGACCTCGTACGACAGCGAGGTGGCCACGCTGACCCAGGGCGGGCCGGGGGGCGCCCCCCAGGACCCCCGGCGGGCCGGGGGGGTGGGGGTGGGGGTGGGGGTGGGGGTGGGCGGGGGTCCCGAGGGCGCGGAGGCGGTGACGGACTCGGGCATCGAGGAGGTGGACAGCCGCAGCAGCAGCGACCACCCCCCCGAGGGCGCCGAGGGACCCCCGGGCCCGGCGGGGGGAGGGGAGGGCGGGGGGAGGGGTCGGCTGGGGCAGAGGGGGAGGGCGGAGTGGGAGGAGCCGAGTCTGGGCACGCCCCTCCCCCCCCTGCCCCTCCCCCCGCACCCCGCAGCGCCCCCCAGAGGGGGGATGGGCGCAGCGTGGAGCCGCGCGGCGGCGGAGGGCGGAGCCGGAGCGCGGCACAGGTGAGGGGGAGGGGCACACCTGGGGGGGGGGTGGCACACCTGGGTGGGGGGGGGCACACCTGGGGGGGGGGCACCTGGGGGGGGGAGGGGTGTCTGTAATACCTGGGCAGTGGGGGAGGGGTAACGGGCACACCTGGGGGGGGGGGAGGGGTGTCGGTCACACCTGGGGGGTGGGGGAGGGGTAACCGACACACCTGGGGTACCTGGGGAGCATGGCACCCATCACACCTGAGGGGCATGGCACCCATCACACCTGGGGAACATGGCACCCATCACACCTGAGGGGTGTGGCACCCATCACACCTGTGACACCCATCACACCTGGGCACCCATCACACCTGCGGAACATGGCACCCATCACACCTGGGCACCTGTGACACCCATCGCACCTGGGCACCCGTCACATCTGGGGCACCTGGGGAACATGGCACCCATCACACCTGGAGCACCTGTGACACCCATCACACCTGGGGATGTGGCACCCATCACACCTGGGCACCCATCATACCTGGGCACCCATCACACCTGGGCACCCATCACACCTGGGGCATTTATCACATCTGGGACACCCATCACACCTGGGCACCCATCACACCTGGGCACCCATCGCACCTGTGACACCCATCACACCTGTGACACCCATCACACCTGTGACACCCGTCACACCTGGGGCACCCATCACACCTGGGGCATCTATCACACCTGGGGCACTCATCACACCTGGGACACCTGGGGAACATGGCACCCATCACACCTGGGCACCCATCACACCTGGGGCACCTGTGACACCCATCACACCTGGGGCACCTGAGGGGCGTGGCACCCATCACACCTGGGCACCCATCACACCTGTGGCACCTGTGATTACACCTGTGATGCCCACTGCATGGATGAGATGGTCATACCTGTGGCACACCTGGCACCTGCATGGAGTGGGGAAGCACCCATCGCACCTGTGGCACACCTGGCACACCTGTGGCATGTGTGGCACACCTGGCACCTGCTGCATGGATTGGGGTGGTACCCATTGCACCTGTGGCACACCTGTGGCACACCTGGCACCTGCAGGGATGGGGGGCCATCGCACCTGTGGCATGTGTGATACACCTGGCACACCTGTGGCACATCTGTGGCACACCTGGCACCTGCTGCATGGATGGGGGGGGCACCCATCGTGCCTGTGGCACACCTGTGGAACCTGTGGCACACCTGGCACCTGCATGGATGGGGAGCGCCCATCACACCTGTGGTGCACCTGTGGCACACCTGTGGTGCACCTGCATGGATTGGAGGGCACCCATCGCACCTGTGGCACACCTGTGGCACCTGTGGTACACCTGGAACCTGCATGGACTGGGGGGAACCCATCGCACCTGTGGCACACCTGTGGCACCTGTGGCGCACCTGGAACCTGCATGGACTGGGGGGAACCCATCGCACCTGTGGCACACCTGTGGCACACCTGGCACCTGCATGATGGGGGGCCATCGTACCTCTAGCACACCTGTGATACACCTGGCACACCTGTGGCACACCTGTGGCACACCTGGCACCTGCAGGGATGGGGGGCCATCGCACCTGTGGCACACCTGTGGCAAAACTGTGGCACACCTGGCACCTGCTGCATGGATTGGGGGGTACCCATTGCACCTGTGGCACGTGTGATACACCTGGCACACCTGTGGCACACCTGTGGCACACCTGGCACTCTGTGCATGGATTGGGGGGACACCCATCACACCTGTGGCGCACCTGCATGGATGGGGGGCACCCATCGCACCTGTGGCACACCTGTGGCACACCTGTGGCACACCTGGCACTCTGTGCATGGATTTGGGGGGAACCCATCTCACGTGGGCCCATCACACCTGTACCCGTCTCACCTGTGCCCATTTCACCTGTTCTCACCTGTACCCATCTCCCCTGTACCCATCTCACCTGTCACACCTGTGCCTGTCACACCTATGCCCATCACACCTGTGCCCATCTCACCTGTTCTCACTTGTACCCATCACACCTGTCACACCTGTGCCCATCACACCTGTACCCGTCTAACCTGTTCTCACCTGTGCCCATCACACCTGTCACACCTGTGCCCATCATACCTGTACCCATCTCACCTGGTGCACCTGTGCCCATCTCGGCACACCTGTACCTGGCACACCTGTACCCATCTCACCTGTGCCCATCACACCTGTTCTCACTTGTACCCATCTCACCTGTAGCCATCTCACCTGTGCCTGTCTCACCTGCCCCACCTGTACCCATCTCACCTGTGCCCATCACACCTCTCACACCTGTGCCCATCTCACCTGTGCCCATCTTACCTGTCACACCTGTGCCCATCTCACCTGTGCCCATCACACCTGTTCTCACCTGTGCCCATCACACCTGTACTTGGCACACCTGTGCCGATCACACCTGTCACACCTGTGCCCATCTCACCTGTTCTCACCTGTACCCATCTCACCTGTTCTCACTTGTACCCATCTCACCTGGCACACCTGTACCCATCAGACCTGGCACACCTGTGCCAGTCACACCTGTGCCCGTCTCACCTGTTCTCACCTGTGCCCATCACACCTGTGTCCATCACACCTGTCACACCTGTACCCATGACAACTGTACCTGGCACACCTGTGCCCATCTCACCTGGCACACCTGTGCCCATCATACCTGTACCCATCACACCTGGTGCACCTGTGCCCATCTCGACACACCTGTACCTGGCACACCTGTACCCGTCTCACCTGTGCCCATCACACCTGTTCTCACTTGTACCCATCACACCTGTGCCCATTTCACCTGTTCTCACCTGTACCAGTCTCACCTGTGCCCATCTCACCTGTCACACCTGTACCTGTCACACCTGTACCTGTCTCACCTGTACCCATCTCACCTGTACCCATCTCACCTGTGCCCTTCTCACCTGCCCCACCCTCTTTGGAAAGGGGGGTAGGGCGTGGCCTGTCGGGGCGTGGTCAGAGGTGGGCGTGGCTGAGATGGGCGTGGCTTAGCGGGGCGTGGTCAGAGTTGGGCGTGGCTTATCGGGGCGTGTCCCCCACCCCTCCCCCCTCCTAACCGCTCCCCTCCCCCCACAGGCTGACGGACTCCGCCGCCCCTCCCCCCTCCCCCTCCCCCACCAAGCCCCTCCCCCCCAGCCCCGCGCTGTTCCCCCATTGGCCGCCGCCCCCCCCAAAACCCGCGGTGGGCGTGGCCGGGGGCGGGGACCTGGAGCTCCGCCCCGCCCTGCGGCGCGCGCCCAGCCCGGCCCCGCCCCCCTCGGAGCGGCGCGGCAGCCCCGCCCCCCGCCCGGCCTCGCTGCCCACCTTACCTGCGGCGCACCTGTACGGGGCTTACCTGGAGCTGCGCGGCTTCCCCGAGCCCCCCGCCGCCCGCTCGCTGTCCCCGCCCCGCGCCGCCGCCCCCGGGAAGCCCTTCGGAGCCAAACCTTTGGCTTTTTGGAGCAAATTCGACGTGGCGGACTGGCTGGAGTCGCTGAACCTGGGCGAGCACCGCGCGCGCTTCCTGCACAACGAGATCGACGGCACGCACCTGCCCGCGCTGACCAAGGAGGACTACATCGACCTGGGCGTGACGCGCGTGGGGCACCGCATGAACATCGACCGCGCCCTGCGCCTCTTCCTCGAGAGGTGATGGAGCCGCGGGGCGCTCCGCGAGGGGCGGGCGGGGGGACAGGTGAGGGGGGGAGGCGGACAGGTGTGAAGGGGAGGCGGCCAGGTGTGAGCGGGAGACCCGCAGGTGTGAGCGGGAGGCGGCCAGGTACCGAAGTGAGACCCCCAGGTGTGAAGGGGAGACCCCCAGGTGTGAGCAGGAGCCACACAGGTACCGAGGGGGAACCCCCAGGTGTGAGGGTGACACCTCCAGGTACCGATGAGGGTCCCCCAGGTGTGCGGGTGAGACCCTCAGGTGTGAGGGGGAGGCACCCAGGTGCCGAGGGGAGACCCCCAGGTGTGAGCAGGAGCCACACAGGTACCGAGGGGGGACCCTCAGGTGTGAGTGGGAGGCAGCCAGGTACCGATGAGGAACTCCCAGGTGTGAAGGGGAGACCCTCAGGTACCGAGGTGGGACCCCCAGCTGTGCAGGGGGGACCCCCAGGTGTGAGGGAGAAACCTCCAGGTACCGAGGTGAGACCCCCAGGTGTGAGTGGGAGGCACCCAGGTGTGCGGGAGAGACCCTCAGGTGTGAGGGTGACACCTCCAGGTACCGAGGTGAGACCCTCAGGTGTGAAGGGGAGACCCTCAGGTGTGAAGGGGAGACCCCCAGGTGTGCAGGGGAGACCCCCAGGTGTGAGCGGGAGCCACCCATGTACCGAGGTGAGACCCCCAGGTGTGCAGGGGAGACCCTCAGGTGTGAGCGGGAGGCACCCAGGTACCGATGAGGAACGCCCAGGTGCGAGGGTGACACCTCCAGGTAGCGATGAGGGTCCCCCAGGTGTGCAGGAGAGACCCTCAGGTGTGAAGGGGAGACCCTCAGGTGTGAGGGTGACACCTCCAGGTACCGACGGGGGACCCCCAGGTGTGCGTGGGAATCACCCAGGTACCGATGAGGGTCCCCCAGGTGTGAGGGAGGGACCCTCAGGTGTGAGGGAGAGAGGGGGAGAAGGGGGAGGTGAGTGTGCAATGGGGTCCAGGTGTGCAACAGGATCTGAGTGTGCCAACGGATCTGCGCTTAAGACTGTGAAAGGATCCGAGTGTGCAACAGGATCTGAGTGTGCAACAGGATCCAGGTGTAAAACGGGATCCAGGTGTGCTATGGGATCCAGGTGTAAAACGGGATCCGAGTGTAAAACGGGATCCAAGTGTGCAATGGGATCCAGGTGTAAAACAGGATCCGAGTGTGCAACAGGATCCGAGTGTGCAATGGGATCTGAGTGTGTAACAGGATCCAGGTGTGCAACAGGATCCAAGTGTGCAACAGGATCCCGGTGTAAAATGGGATCCAGGTGTAAAACGGGATCCGAGTGTGCAACGGGATCTGCACTTAAGACTGTGAAAGGATCCGAGTGTGCAATGGGATCCAGGTGTAAAACAGGATCCAGGTGTAAAACGGGGTCCGAGTGTGCAACAGGACCTGAGCACGGCTCGGGATTCGAATGTGCAATGGGATCCGGGTGTGCAACGGGATCTGAGTGTGCCACAGGATCTGCACTTATGAATGTACAAGGATCTGAGTGTGCAATGGGATCCAGGTGTGCAACAGGATCTGAGTGTGTAATGGGATCTGAGTGTGCCACAGGATCTGGATTTACGAATGTACAAGGATCCGAGTGTGCAAGGGGATCCAGGTGTGCAACAGGATCCGAGTGTGTAAAGGGATCTGGGTGTGCGAAGGGAGGCGGGTGTGCAAGGGGATCCAGATATGGGGATGTAACGGGATCTGAGTGTGCAACGGGATCCGAGCGTGCAACGGGATCCGAGTGTGTAATGGGATCCGAGTGTGCAACGGGATCCGAGTGTGCAACGGGATCCGAGCGTGCAACGGGATCCGAGCGTGCAACGGGATCCGAGTGTGCAACGGGATCTCGGTATTCAAAGGGATCCGAGTGTGCAACAGGACCTGGACATGGGAATGTGATGGGATCCGGGTGTGCAACAAGATCCGAGTGTGCAACGGGATCTCAGTGTGCAGCACGGTCCAGGTGTGCAACGGGGTCCAGGTGTGCAACAGGATCCGAGTGTGCAACGGGACCTGGACATGGGAATGTGATGGGATCTGAGTGTGCAACGAGATCCGAGTGTGTAACAGGATCTGAGTGTGCAACGAGATCTCAGTGTGCAGCACGGTCCAGGTGTGCAACAGGATCCGAGTGTGCAACGGGACCTGGACATGGGACTGTGATGGGATCCGGGTGTGCAACGAGCTCCAGGTGTGTAATGGGATCCGAGTGTGCAACGGGACCTGGACATGGGAATGTGATGGGATCCGGGTGTGCAACGAGATCCGAGTGTGTAATAGGATCTGAGTGTGCAACGAGATCTGAGTGTGCAGCACAGTCCAGGTGTGCAACGGGGCCCAGGTGTGCAACAGGATCCGAGTGTGCAACAGGATCCGAGTGTGCAACGGGACCTGGACATGGGACTGTGATGGGATCCGAGTGTGCAACGGGATCTCGGTGTGCAAGAGGACCTGAGTGTGCAAGGGGCCCCGGGCGTGCGGGGGGGCCGGGGCGCGCGTGCAAGGGCGGGCGTGCGGCGGGCGCTGAGTGTGCAACGGGACGTGGACAGCGGGCGCCGGGACGTGGACGTGGGCATCCGCTGGGACGCGAGCGTGCAACGGGAGCTGAGTGTGCAACAGGAGATGGACATGGGAGCCCGGCGGGATCTGAGCGTGCCCCGGGAGCTGAGCGTGCAACGGAAGCTGAGCGTGCAACGGGAGCTGGAGGCGCAGAGGCGGCTGAGCGTGCAACAGGAGCTGAGCGTGCAACGGGAGGTGGAGATCCAGCGGAAGCTGAGCGTGCAACAGGAGCTGGGCGTGCAACGGCAGCTGGAGCTGGGCGTGCAATGGGAGCCGGGCGTGCAAAGGGAGCCAGGCGCGGAGTGGGAGGCGAGCGTGCAACGGGAGGTGGAGCTGAGCGTGCGGCAGGAGCTGAGTGTGCAAGCAGCTCCGAGCGTGCGGTGGGACGTGGAAATGGGCGTGCAACAGGAACCGGGTGTGCAAGGACACGTGGGTGTGCAACAGGAGCCGCACGTGCCGCAGGACACGGACATGAGTGTGCAATGGGAGCCGGGCGTGCAAGGGGAGCTGCTGAGCGTGCAACAGGCCGTGGACACGGGCGTGCAACCGAGCATGATTGTGCAAGAGGCGATGATTGTGCAACGAGACGTGAATGTGCCGCCGGAGCTGGGCGTGCAAGAGACCCCGAGTGTGCAACAGGATCTGCAGCCGGGCGTGCAAGAGCCCCTGAGCGTGCAAGGGGACGTGGGAGTGTGAGCGGGCGTGCAAAGGGGGGGATGGGTCCCCCCTCCGAGGCTCACACGCGCGTGTGGGGGTGAGGGCGGCCCTGCGCACGCGCGTGTGCAAGGCTCACACACACACACAGGTGCCACTCCCATGTGTCCCTTGCACACTCGCACTTGTGTCATGCGCTCACACGCACTCCTTGCACACGTGCGGCCCCTCTTGCACACTCACTCAGCTGTTCCTTGCACACTCACGTGCCTCACCTCGCTCCCCTTCCCTCCCTTGCACACTCACGTGTCACACAGTCAGCCCCTCCCCTTGCACACTTACATGAGCCCCTTGCACACTCACAGCCGCCCGGCCCATCCTTTGCACACTCGTGTGTCACAGACATAACTCCCCTTGCACACACGCGTGTCACATGCTCACCCCTTCCCTTGCACATGTGCAGACACGCCCCTTGCACACTCACCCACCACCTTTGCACACTCACAGCTCACCCTCAATCCATCCCTTGCACACTCAACCCCCTCACACACCACCCTTGCACACTCACCGCCCCCCACTTGCACACCCACCCATGCCCTCTTGCACACTCGTGGGCCCCTCACCCGCTCCTCTTGCACACTCACAGCTCACCCCCAGCCCTGCCCCTTGCACACTCACCATTCCCCCCTTGCACACACACACACGCACCTTGCACACTCACTGCACCACACTTTACACACTCACCATTCCCCCCTTGCACACTCACCATTCCCCCCTTGCACACTCACCATCCCCCCTTGCACACGCACTCACACCACCCCTTGCACACTCACTGCCCCACACTTTGCACACTCACCATTCCCCCCTTGCACACTCACCATTCTCCCCCTTGCACACTCACTGCCCCACACCTTGCACACTCACCATTCCCCCCTTGCACACTCACTGCCCCACACCTTGCACACCCACTCACACCCCCCTTGCACACTCACCCGCCCCCCCTCCCGCTCCCTCTCACACTCGCCCGCCCCTCCCCCCCCCCTTGCACACGCGCGTGCCCCGCCCGTGCCCCGCATGCTCACGGGCCCCTCCCCCACTCTCAAAGGGCTCTCTCAGGGTCGTCGCCCCTCCCCCACCCCCCCCCAAAAACAAAGGCAACGACCCCCGACTCGAATGTCTTCCAGCGCCCCTCCCCCACCCCGCCCCTCCCCCAAAATCCCGGGTGGGGGAGGGGCGCGCCGCCCCCCCCCCCAAATTCACTGTGACCCGCCCCCCCCCCAAATGAAGGGGGAGGGGAGGGGGAGGGGCGATGTCCCCGCCCCTCCCCCACCCCCGCAAGCCCCGCCCCCTCCCCGCAGCGCCCCTCCCCCACCCATCGAGGAACCCCCTCCCCCCCCCCAGTGCCCCTCCCCCACCGCCCCTCCCCCCAGCGCTGCCGAGCTGCCCCTCCCCCACCCCGCGCCCCTCCCCCGCGCAGCGGCTCGGGTGTAATTACGGGATAATTAATTCAGTAATTAATTAATGAATTCATTAATTAACGAACCAACGGCGCCTCCCGGAGTTTTCTTTGGGGGAGGGGCGGGGGAAGGGACTGAGTGTGCAAGGGGGGGTGGGCGTGGCCAGGTGGGCGTGCAAGGGGCGGGGCATGACCCCCATGGACCCCCCGGATCCCCCAAATTCGTCCCTAAATCCCCCCAAGTTCCCCCATAGACCCCCCCACAATTCTACCCCAGAGATGCCCCCAAGGACCCCCCGTAGCCCCCCGATAATTCCCCCAGAATCCCCCCATGGACCCCCAAATAATTCCCTTAGAGACCCCAAAACCCCCCAGAAATCCCCCAGAAATCCCCCATAAATCCCCCCAATATTCTCCCCATAAACCCCCCATAAATCCTCCATAAATCCCCCCAATATTCTCCCCATAAATCCCCCAGAGCCCCCCAATAATGCCCCAAAATTCTCCCCATAAATCCCCCAGAGCCCCCCAATAATCCCCCCAAAATCTCCCCAATAATCCCCCCATAAACCCCCACGTAAATCCCCCAAAATTACCCCATAAATCCCCCCGAAATCCCCCAAATAATCCTCTCATAAACCCCCCATAGCCCCCTAAAAATCCCCCAAAAATCCCCCCATAAATCCCCCATAAAACCCCAAAATTCCCCCATAAACCCCCTATAGCCCCCAAATAATCCCTCCCCATAAATTCCCCCATAAATCCCCCAAAATTCCCCCATAAATCCCCTATAGCTCCCCATAAACGCCCCATAAACCCCCCATAGCTCCCCATAAATCCCCCATAAATTCCCTATAGCGCCCAATAATCCCCCCATAAATCCCCAAAAATTCCCCCATAAAACCCCCATAGCCCCCCAAAATCCCCCCAAAAATCCCCCCAACCATCCCATAAATCCCCCATAGCTCCCCATAAATCCCCCCATAAATCCCCCCATAAATCCCCCATAAATCCCCCAAAATTCCCCCATAAATCCCCCAAAATTGCCCCATAAATCTCCCATAGCCCCCCAATAATCCCCCCATAAATCCCCCATAAATCCCCCAAAATTGCCCCATAAATCCCCCATAGCCCCCCAATAATCCCCCCATACATTCCCCCATAAATCCCCCAAAACCCCCCAATAATCCCACCCCATAGGCCCCCAATAATCCCCTCAAAATCCCCCCAAAATCCCCCCAAAATCCCCGATAAACCCCCCATAAATCCCCCATAAATTCCTTATTGCCCCGCAATAATCCACCCACTAACCCCCCATAGCCCCCCAGAAATCGCCCCATAAATCCCCCAAAATTCCACCATAAATCTCCCATAGCCCCCCAATAATCCCTCCCCATAAATCCCCCCATAAATCCCCCCAAAATCCCCCCATAAATCCCCCACAACCCACCCATAAACCCCCCATAAACCCCCCCATAAATCCCCCAAAATTCCCCCATAAATCCCCCAAAATTCCCCCATAAAATCCCAAAAATTGCCCCATAAATCCCCCAAAATTCCCCCATAAATCCCCCAAAATTGCCCCATAAATCCTTCATAGCCCCCCAGTTAATCCCCCATAAATCCCCCATAAATCCCCCATAAACCCCTAATAAATCCCCAATAAACCCTCAATAATCCCCCCAAAATCCCCCCATAAACCCCCCATAATTCCCCCATAAATCCCCCAAATTTCCCCCATAAATCTCCCACAGCCCCCCAATAATCCCACCCCATAAATCCCCTATAGCTCCCCATAAACCCCCCCATAAATCCCCCGTAAACCCCCCCATAAATCCCCCAAAATTCCCCTAAAAATCCCCTATAGCTCCCCATAAACCCCCCATAAATCCCCCATAAACCCCCCCATAAATCCCCCAAAATTGCCCCATAAATCCCCCATAGCCCCCCAATAATCCCACCCCATAAATCCCCTATAGCTCCCCAATAATCCCCCCAAAATCCCCCCAAATCCTCCCAAAATCCCTCCGCCCCTCCCCCGCTCCCGGCGGGCAGAGCCGAAGCATCTCGGCTCCGTTCGGCTCCGTTCGGCTCCGTTCGGCTCCGTTCGGCTCCGTTCGGCTCCGTTCGGCTCCGTTCGGCTCCGCTCGGGCCGGTTCGGCTCCGTTCGGCTCCGTTCGGGCCGGTTCGGCTCCGTTCGGCTCCGTTCGGCTCCGTTCGGCTCCGTTCGGCTCCGTTCGGCTCCGTTCGGCTCCGTTCGGCTCCGTTCGGCTCCGTTCGGGCCGGTTCGGCTCCGTTCGGCTCCGTTCGGCTCCGTTCGGCTCCGTTCGGCTCCGTTCGGCTCCGTTCGGCTCCGCTCGGGCCGGTTCGGCTCCGTTCGGCTCCGTTCGGGCCGGTTCGGCTCCGTTCGGCCCCGGCAGGTGAGCGGGGCCCGGCCGGAGGGACCGCGGGGTCCGGGGGGGGCGGGGGGAGAATTTGGGGGCGATTTTGGGGGGTCGGGGGGGGCGGCAGGTGATGGGGGGCAGGTGTGGGGGGGGGCAGATGATGGGGGCAGATTTGGGGGTGATTTTGGGGTGCAGGTGTGGGGAGCAGGTGATGGAGAGCAGATTTGGGGGTGCAGGTGTGGGGGTTCAGGTGTGGGGGGTGATTTTGGGGTGGGGATTTTGGGGGTTCAGGTGTGTGGGGTGATTTTTGGGGTGGGGATTTTGGGGGACAGGTGGGGGGGGCAGGTGTGGGGGTGATTTTGGGGGTTCAGGTGTGGGGAGCAGGTGATGGAGAGCAGATTTGGGGTTCAGGTGTGTGGGGCAGGTGTTGGGGTGCAGGTATTGGGGTTCAGGTGAGTGTGGGGCAGGTGTTGGGGTGGTTTTTGGGGGTTCAGGTGTGGGGGGCAGGTGATGGGGGGCAGTTTTGGGGTGCAGGCATTGGGGTTCAGGTATGGGGGGCAGATGTGGGGGGCAGGTGATGGGGGCAGATTTGGGGGTTCAGGTATTGGGGTTCAGGTGTGGGAGGGAGGTTTGGGGTGATTTTGGGGGTTCAGGTGTGTGGGGGGCAGGTGATAGAGCAGATTTGGGGGTTCAGGTGTGTGGGGTGATTTTGGGGGTTCAGGTGCATGGGGCAGGTGATGTGGAGCAGATTTGGGGGTTCAGGTGTGGGGGGGCAGGTATTGGGATTCAGGTGTGGGGCAGGTTTTGGGGAGCAGATTTTGGGGTGCAGGTATTGGGGTTCAGGTGTATGGGGGAGGTATTTGGGGCCGGTTTTGGGGGTTCAAGTGTGGGGGGCAGGTGATGGGGAGCAGATTTTGGGGTTCAGGTGTGGGGCAGGTGATGTGGAGCAGATTTGGGGGTTCAGGTGTGTGGGGCAGGTATTGGGGTGATTTTGGGGGTGCAGGTGTGTGTGGGGCAGGTGATGGAGCAGATTTGGGGTGCAGGTATTGGGGTGCAGGTGTGTGGGGCAGGTGTGGGGGTGATTTTGGGGGTTCAGGTGTGTGGGGCAGGTTATGGGGGCCAGTTTGGGGGTTCAGGTGTGGGCGGCAGGTGATGGGGGCAGATTTGGGGTGCAGGTGTGTGGGGGGCAGGTGTGGGAGAGAGGTTTGGGGCCGGTTTTGGGGGTTCAGGTGTGGGGAGCAGGTGATGGAGCAGATTTGGGGGTTCAGGTGTGTGGGGTGATTTTGGGGTGGTGATTTTGGGGGTTCAGGTGTGGGGCAGGTGATGGAGAGCAGATTTGGGGTGCAGGTATTGGGGTTCAGGTGTATGGGGAAGGTTTGGGGTCGGTTTTGGGGGTTCAGGTGTGTGGGGCAGGTGATGGGGGCGGTTTTGGGGGTTCAGGTGTGTGGGGTAGGTATTGGGGAGCAGATTTGGGGTGCAGGTGTGGGGGGCAGGTGTGTGGGGGAGCAGGTGTTGGGGTGATTTTGGGGTTCAGGTGTGGGGGGCAGGTGTGATGGGAGCAGATTTGGGGGTTCAGGTGTGTGGGGGGTTCAGGTGTGGGGTGATTTTGGGGGTTCAGGTGTAGGGGGCAGGTGATGGGGGTGATTTTGTGGGTGCAGGTGTGGGGGGGCAGGTGATGGGGAGCAGATTTGGGGGTTCAGGTATTGGGGTTCAGGTGAGTGTGGGGGGCAGGTGTTGGGGTGATTTTGGGGGTTCAGGTGTGTGGGGGAGGTATTTCGGAAGCAGATTTGGGGGTGCAGGTGTGTGGGGCAGGTATTAGGGAGCAGATTTGGGGTGCAGGTATTGGGGTTCAGGTGTGTGGGGTGATTTTGGGGTGGGGATTTTGGGGGTTCAGGTGTTGGGGTTCAGGTGTGTGGCAGGTGTGGAGTGATTTTGGGGGTTCAGGTGTGGGGGGCAGGTGTTGGGGTGATTTTGGGGTTCAGGTGTGTGGGGCAGGTGATGGGGGCGGTTTTGGGGTTCAGGTGTGGGGGGGCAGGTGATGGGGGCAGACTTGGGGTCGGTTTTGGGGTTTCAGGTGTGTGGGGCAGGTATTGGAGAGCAGATTTGGGGTGCAGGTATTTGGGGTTCAGGTGAGTGTGGGGCAGGTGTTGGGGGCAGATTTGGGGTGCAGGTATTGGGGTTCAGGTGAGTGTGGGGCAGGTATTTGGGGCCGGTTTTGGGGGTTCAGGTGTGGGGGGCAGGTGTTGGGGAGCGGTTTTGGGGTGCAGGTATTGGGGTTCAGGTGTGGGGGGCAGGTGATGGGAGCAGATTTGGGGGTTCAGGTGTGGGGGTTCAGGTATTGGGGTTCAGATGTGGGGGGCAGAGGATGGCGGCCGGTTTTGGGGTGCAGGTATTGGGGTTCAGGTGTGTGGGGCAGGTATTTGGGGCCAGTTTTAGGGGTTCAGGTGTGTGGGACAGGTGTTGGGGAGCAGATTTTGGGGTTCAGGTGTGTGGGGCAGGTGTGCGGGTGATTTTGGGGTGCAGGTGTGGGGCAGGTATTGGGGAGCAGTTTGGGGGTGCAGGTGTTGGGGTTCAGGTGTGGGAGAAAGGTTTGGGGCGATTTTGGGGGTTCAGGTGTGTGGGGCAGGTGATGGGGCAGATTTGGGGTGCAGGTGTTGGGGTTCAGGTGTGTGGGGCAGGTATTTGGGGCCGGTTTTGGGGGTTCAGGTGTGTGGGGCAGGTGATGGGGGTGGTTTTGGGGTGCAGGTATTGGGGTTCAGGTGTGTGGGGTGATTTTGGGTCAGGGATTTTGGGGTTCAGTTTTGGGGTGGTTTTGGGGTTCAGGTATTTGGGGTTCAGGTGTGCGGGGCTGATTTTGGGGTTCAGGTGTGCGGGGCAGGTTTGGGGTGGGAATTTTGGGGGTTTAGGTGGGTGGGGCTGTTTTGGGGGTCACTTTGGGGTCACTTTTGGGGTCCCTTTGGGGTCACATTTGGGGTCACTTTGGGGTCACATTTGGGGTCACTTTGGGGTCACTTTTAGGGTCACATTTGGGGTCACATTTGGGATCACTTTGGGGTCACTTTGGGGTCACATTTGGGGTCACTTTGGGGTCACTTTGGGGTCACTTTGGGGTCACTTTTAGGGTCACATTTGGGGTCACATTTGGGATCACTTTGGGGTCACTTTGGGGTCACTTTTAGGGTCACATTTGGGGTCACATTTGGGGTCACTTTGGGGTCACTTTTGAGGGCCTCTTTTGGGGTCAGTTTGGGGTCACATTTGGGGTCAGTTTGGGGTGACTTTGAGGTCACTTTGGGGGTCACATTTGGGGTCACATTTGGGGTCACATTTGGGGGTCACATTTGGGGTCACATTTGGGGGTCACATTTGGGGTCACTTTTGGGGTCACTTTGGGGTCAGTTTGGGGGTCACTTTGGGGGTCACATTTGGGGTCACATTTGGGGTCACATTTGGGGGTCACATTTGGGGTCACATTTGGGGGTCACATTTGGGGTCACATTTGGGGTCACTTTGGGGGTCAGTTTGGGGTCACTTTGGGGGGTCAGTTTGGGGTCACTTTGGGGTCACTTTTGGGGTCACTTTGGGGTCACATTGGGGTCACTTTTGGGGGTCACACTGGGGTCACTTTTGGGGGTCACATTTGGGGTCACATTTGGGGTCACTTTGGGGAGTCACTTTGGGGTCACTTTTGGGGTCACATTTGGGGTCACTTTTGGGGGTCAGTTTTGGGTCACATTTGGGGTCACATTTGGGGTCAGTTTGGGGTCAGTTTGGGGTCACATTTGGGGTCAGTTTGGGGTGACTTTGAGGTCACTTTGGGGGTCACATTTGGGGTCACATTTGGGGTCACATTTGGGGGTCACATTTGGGGTCACATTTGGGGGTCACATTTGGGGTCACTTTTGGGGTCACTTTGGGGTCAGTTTGGGGGTCACTTTGGGGGTCACATTTGGGGTCACATTTGGGGTCACATTTGGGGGTCACATTTGGGGTCACATTTGGGGGTCACATTTGGGGTCACATTTGGGGTCACTTTGGGGGTCAGTTTGGGGTCACTTTGGGGGGTCAGTTTGGGGTCACTTTGGGGTCACTTTTGGGGTCACTTTGGGGTCACATTGGGGTCACTTTTGGGGGTCACACTGGGGTCACTTTTGGGGGTCACATTTGGGGTCACATTTGGGGTCACTTTGGGGAGTCACTTTGGGGTCACTTTTGGGGTCACATTTGGGGTCACTTTTGGGGGTCAGTTTTGGGTCACATTTGGGGTCACATTTGGGGTCAGTTTGGGGTCAGTTTGGGGTCACATTTGGGGGTGAGTTTCGGGTCACATTTGGGGTGACTTTGGGGTGACTTTGGGGTCACATTTGGGGTCACTTGGGGGTCACTTTGGGTTCACTTTTTGGGTCACTTTGGGGTCACTCTGGGTCACTTTTAGGGTCACTTTGGGGTCACTTTGGGGTCACTTTGGGGTCACTTTGGGGTCACTCTGGGGTCACTTTGGGGGGGTCACTTTGGGGTCACTTTGGGGGTCAGTTTGGGATCACTTTGGGGGGTCAGTTTGGGGTCACTTTTGGGGTCAGTTTGGGGTCACTTTGGGGTCACTTTAGGGTCACTTTGGGGGTCACTTTGGGGTCACTTTGGGGTCACTTTGGGGGACACACTTGGGGTCAGTTTGGGGTCACATTTGGGGTCCACTTTGGGGTCACTTTTGGGGGTCAGTTTGGGGTCAGTTTGGGGTCACTTTTTGGGTCACTTTGGGGTCACTCTGGGGTCACATTTGGGGTCACTTTGGGGTCACATTTGGGGTCACTTTTGAGGTTACATTTGGGGTCACTTTGGGGTCACATTTGGGGTCTCTTTTGGGGTCACTTTTGGGGTCACATTGGGGTCACTTTGGGGGTCACATTTGGGGTCACTTTTGGGGTCACTTTGTGGGTCACATTTGGGGTCACATTTGGGGTCACATTTGGGGTCACTTTGGGGTCACTTTGGGGTCACTTTGGTGTCACTTTGGGGTCACTTTGGGGGGGTCAGTTTGGGGTCACTTTGGGGTCACATTTGGGGTCACTTTGGGGTCACTCGGGGGTCACTCGGGGGTCACTTTGGGGGTCCCCCCCGTTTCTGTCCCCCCACAGGTGACGCGAGGGGCCCCCCCGGCCCCGCCCCCCATGGCCCGGCCCCGCCCCCCCCTCCCCCCCCCCGGGCCCCTCTGAGCCCCCCCAAAGTCGGGAGACCCCAAAGGTGAGAGGGGCGGGGCCTGAAGGGGCGGGGCCAAGGGGGCGGGGCTAAAATGGGCAGGGCTAAAAGGGGAGGGGCTTAAAGGGGCGTGGCTAAGATGAGTGGGGCTAAAAGAGGAGGGGCTAAAATGGGTGGGGCTTAAAGGGGAGGGGCCTGAATGGGTGGGGCTAAAATGGGTGGGGTTGGAAGGGGCGGGGCTAAAATGGGTGGGGCTTAAGGGGGCCAAAATGGGTAGGGCTTAAAGGGGTGGGGCTAAAATGGGTGGGGCTAAAAGGGGTGGGGCTTAAACGGGTGGGGCTTTAATGGGAGGGGCTAAATGGGTGGTGCTAAAAGGGGCGGGGTTAAATGGGTGGGGCTTAAAGGGGCGGAGTTTAAATGGGTGTGGTTTGAAGGGGCGGGGCTAAATTGGGTGTGGCTGAAAGGGGAGGGGCTAAACTGGGTGGAGCTAAAATGGGTGGGGCTAAAAGGGGTGGGGCTTAAAGGGGAGGGGTTTAAATGGGTCTGGTTTGAAGGGGCGGGGCTAAAATGGGTGGAGCTGAAAGGGGCGTGGCAAATGGATGGGGCTTAAAGGGGAGAGGCTAAAATGGGCGGGGTTTTAAGGGGAGGGTTTAAAATGGGTGGGGTTTTTAGGGGCGGGGCTAAAATGGGCGGGGCTGTGCCAGGTGTGCCAGCTGTGCCCAGGTGTGCCCAGGTGTGCCCAGGTGTGCCCAGGTGTGCCAGGTGTGTTCAGCACCATTTTTTTGGCCCCAGCTTTGTCTTAGGCCCACGAGGAGAATTTTCCCCACGTTTTTCTCGCATTTTGCCCATTTTCCCGTGATTTTATCCCATTTTTTCGCCCGTATCTGTGGATCATGGCCAGGATGGTCTTCGCACGTCTTTTTTCCCAATTTTTCCCCCAATTTTTCCCCTTTTTCCACTTTTTTTCCCATATTTTTCCCCCCATTTTCTCCTCAATTTTTCCTAATTTTCCCCCATTTTCTGCCATTTTTTCTTCATTCTCCCCATTTTTCACCATTTTCTCCCATTTTCCCCATTTTATCCCCATTTCCCCTCTTTTTTTCTCAATTTTTACAGATTTTCCTCATTTTCCCCATTTCCCCCACTTTTCCCCATTTTTTCCCATTTTTTCTTCATTCTCCCCATTTTTCACCATTTTCCCCATTTTATCCCCATTTCCCCCATTTTTTCTTCTTTTTTTCCAAAGTTTTCTCGGTTTCCCCCATTTTCCCAATTTTTCACCATTTCCCCCATTTTCCCCTATTTTATCCCCATTTCCCCCATTTTTCCTCCATTTCCCCCAATTTTTCCCATTTTTTCCTCATTTTCCCTCAATTTTCCCCACAGTTTTCCCAATTTTTCCTCATTTCCCCCCATTTTCCAACATTTCCCCCCATTTTTCCCTATTTGTCCCCATTTTCCCCATTTTTCCTCATTTTTCCAAATTTTTCTCATTTTCTCCCATTTCCCCCCATTTTCCCCCATTTCCCCCATTTTTTCCAATTTTTCCTCTCAATTTTATTCCCATTTTCCCCATTTTTATCCTTTTTCCTCTCAAATATTCCACATTTCCCCCATTTTTTCCCTATTCCCCCCCCCCATTTTTTCACCACTCCCAGAAATCCCAAAATCTATTTTTTTCTCATTTTTTCCCTATTCCCCCCCCATTTTTCCATCACTCCCAGAAATCCCCAAATCTAATTTTTTTTCTCATTTTTTCCCATTTTCCCCCCATTTTTCCCCATTTTACACCACATCTGATGACTACGACGACGAACATTTTCCCCATATTTTATCCATATTTCCCCCAAATTTCCCCATTTTTTCTCCACACCCAGAAACCCCAAAAATCTCATTTTTCCCCCATTTTTTTCCCAATTTCTCATGTTTTATTCCCATTTTTAGGCCATGTCCGGGGACTATGAGGAGGACGTTTCCACCCTGTCTTTTTATCCACATTTTATCCATATTTTATCCATATTTTCCCCAAATTTTGCCATTTTCCCCCCATTTTTTCTCGATTTCCAGAAATCCCAAAAATCTCAATTTTTTCCTCATTTTTTCCCAATTTTTCCTATTTTTCCCCCATTTTTCCCCATTTTAGGCCACATCTGATGACTACGAGCAGTACGTTTCCACATATTTTCCCCATTATTTTCCCCATATTTCCCCCAAATTTCCCCATTTCTCCCCCATTTTTTCCCTGTACCCATAAATCCCAAAAATCTCATTTTCCCCCCATTTTTTCCCAATTTCCCATGGTTTATCCCCATTTTCAGGCCATGTCCGGGGACTACGAGGAGGACGTTTCCCCATATTTTCACCATTATTTTCCCCATATTTTATCCATATTTTCCCCAAATTTCCCCATTTTTTCCCCGTACCCAGAAATACTGAAAATTTCATTTCCCCCCATTTTTTCCCAATTTCCCGTGTTTTATCCCCATTTCCAGGCCATGTCCGGGGACTACGAGGAGGACGTTTCCCCATATTTCCCCCAAATTTCCCCCATATTTTCCCCAAATTTACCCATTTTCCTCCCATTTCTTCTCCACACCCAGAAATCCCAAAAATCCCATTTTCCCCATATTTTTTCCCAATTTCCCATGGTTTATTCCCATTTTCAGGCCATGTCCGGGGACTACGAGGAGGACGTTTCCCCATATTTTCCCCATTATTTTCCCCATATTTTCCCCATATTACCCCCAAATTTCTCCATTTTTTCTCCACACCCAGAAACCCAAAAAATCTCATTTTCCCCCCATTTTTTCCCAATTTCCCGTGTTTTTTCCCCATTTCAGGCCATGTCCGGGGACTACGAGGAGGACGTTTGCCGCAGCGCGCTGCGCCTGGTGCACGAGCTCTGCTTCGCCCCCCGCGCGCGCCCGCCCCACGCGCGCTGCCTCGAGTTCACCGACCTGCTGCGGCACCGCGGCCACCCGCGCCCGGCCGACACAGGTATGGGCACACCTGGGCACAGGTATGGTACACCTGGGCACACCTGGGTACACCTGGGTATAGGTATGGTACACCTGGGTACAGGTATGGCACACCTGGGTACACCTGGGCACACCTGGGCACACCTGGGTATAGGTACGGCACACCTGGGCACACCTGGGTACACCTGGGTACGGGTACGGCACACCTGGGCACACCTGGGCACACCTGGGCACACCTGGGTACAGGTACAGCACACCTGGGTACAGGTATGGCACACCTGGGTACAGGTATGGGACACCTGGGCACAGCTGGGGGCACCTGGGCACACCTGGGTACAGGTATGGCACACCTGGGTACAGGTACGGCACACCTGGGTACAGGTACAGCACACCTGGGTACAGATACAGCACACCTGCTGCGGCACCGCGGCAACCCGCGGCCTGCGGACACAGGTACGGGCACCTGGGGGCACCTGGGTACAGGTATGGCACACCTGGGTAGATGTATGGCACACCTGGGCACACCTGGGGGCACCTGGGTACAGGTATGGTACACCTGGGCACACCTGGGCACACCTGGGTACAGGTACGGGCACCTGGGGGCACCTGGGGGCACCTGGGTACAGGTATGGCACACCTGGGCACACCTGGGCACACCTGGGTACAGGTACAGCACACCTGGGCACAGGTATGGGACACCTGGGTACACCTGGGTACACCTGGGCACACCTGGGCACACCTGGGCACAGGTACGGGCACCTGGGTACAGGTACGGCACACCTGGGCACGGGTATGGGCACCTGGGCACACCTGGGCACACCTGGGCACACCTGGGTACAGGTACAGCACATCTGGGTACACCTGGGCACACCTGGGCACAGGTACAGCACACCTGCTGCGGCACCGCGGGCACCCGCGGCCGGCGGACACAGGTACGGGCACCTGGGTACAGGTATGGGCACCTGGGCACACCTGGGTACAGGTATGGCACACCTGGGTACACCTGGGTACAGGTATGGTACACCTAGGCACACCTGGGCACACCTGGGCACACCTGGGCACACCTGGGTACAGGTACGGCACACCTGGGTACAGGTATGGGCACCTGGGTACAGGTACGGCACACCTGGGCACACCTGGGCACACCTGGGCACAGGTACAGCACACCTGGGCACAGGTACACCACACCTGCTGCGGCACCGCGGGCACCCGCGGCCAGCGGACACAGGTATGGCACACCTGGGGGCACCTGGGGGCACCTGGGCACACCTGGGCACAGGTATGGCACACCTGGGCACAGGTACAGCACACCTGCTGCGGCACCGCAGGCACCCGCGGCCTGCTGATACAGGTACGGGCACCTGGGCACACCTGGGCACAGGTATGGCACACCTGGGCACACCTGGGGGCACACCTGGGCACACCTGGGTACAGGTATGGTACACCTGCTGTGGCACCGCGGGCACCCGCGGCCGGCGGACACAGGTACGGGCACCTGGGCGCAGGTATGGTACACCTGGGCACACCTGGGGGCACCTGGGCACACCTGGGTACAGGTATGGCACACCTGGGCACACCTGGGTACAGGTATGGCACACCTGGGTACACCTGGGTACAGGTACAGCACACCTGCTGCAGCACCGCGGCCACCCGCAGCCGGCGGATACAGGTACGGGCACCTGGGCACACCTGGGCACAGGTATGGCACACCTGGGCACACCTGGGGGCACCTGGGCACACATTTCGGTTGGATTTTTGCTGAATTTCGGGTGGATTTTTGTAAATTTTGAGGAATTTTGGGGGCAAATTTTGTGAATTTGGGGTGGATTTTATAAATTCTAATGTCTTTTGCGGATTTTTTGGTGAATTTTGCATGGATTTCAGTGAATTTGGATGAATTTTGGTCGGGTTTTTTGGGTGAATTTTGATGAATTTTGATCGGGTTTTTTTGCTGATTTTGGTGATTTTTGGGTGGAATTTTGTAACTTTTGGATAATTTTGGATCTCTTCCCGCAGAGGTGTCGGTGTCGCTGCTGTCGGTCATCGTCACCTTCTGCGGGCGGGTCCTGCTGGGGGTCTCTGGGTGGATTTTGGTTGGGATTTCAGTGAATTTTGATGAATTTTGGTGAATTTTGGCAAATTTTGAGTGGATTTCTGTAAATTTTGATAAATTTTGGGTGTATTTTGAGTAGATTTCTGTCAATTTTGGTAAATTTTGGATCTCCTCCCATCATCACCTTCTGCGGGCGGGTCCTGCTGGGGGTCTCTGGGTGGATTTTGGGTGGATTTTGATGAATTTTGGGTGGATTTCAGTGAATTCTGATGAATTTGGATGAATTCTGGTCAGGTTTTTTGGCTGATTTTGGGTGAAATTCAGTGAATTTTGGTTCATTTCCCCGCAGAGGTGTCGGTGTCGCTGCTGTCGGTCATCGTCACCTTCTGCGGGCTGGTCCTGCTGGGGGTCTCTGGGTGGATTTTGGTTGGGTTTTTTGGTGAATTTTGATGAATTTTGATGAATTTTGATGAATTTTGGCGATTTTTGAGTGGATTTCTGTAAATTTTGATAAATTTTGGGTTTATTTTGGGTGGATTTCTGACAATTTTGGTAAATTTTGGATCTCTTCCCATCGTCACCTTCTGCGGGCTGGTCCTGCTGGGGGTCTCTGGGTGGATTTTGGGTGGATTTGGATGAATTTTGATGAATTTTGATGAATTTTGATGAATTTTGGTCGGGTTTTTTGCCTGATTTTGACAATTTTTGGGTGAAATTCTGTAAATTTTGGTTAATTTCCCCGCAGAGGTGTCGGTGTCGCTGCTGTCGGTCATCGTCACCTTCTGCGGGCGGGTCCTGCTGGGGGTCTCTGGGTGGATTTTGATGAATTTTGACGTATTTTGATGAATTTTGATCGGGTTTTTTGCCTGATTTTGACAAATTTTGGGTGAAATTCTGTAAATTTCGGTTAATTTCCCCACAGAGGTGTCGGTGTCGCTGCTGTCGGTCATTGTCACCTTCTGCGGGCTGGTCCTGCTGGGGGTCTCTGGGTGGATTTTGGGTGGATTTGGATGAATTTTGATGAATTTTGGTCGGATTTTTTGCCTGATTTTGACAATTTTTGGGTGAAATTCGGTGAATTTTGGTTCATTTCCCCGCAGAGGTGTCGGTGTCGCTGCTGTCGGTCATCGTCACCTTCTGCGGGCTGGTCCTGCTGGGGGTCTCTGGGTGGATTTTGGGGGCATTTCAGTGAATTTGGATGAATTTTGGTCGGGTTTTTTGGCTGATTTTGGGTGAAATTCAGTGAATTTTGGTTCATTTCCCCGCAGAGGTGTCGGTGTCGCTGCTGTCGGTCATCGTCACCTTCTGCGGGCTGGTCCTGCTGGGGGTCTCTGGGTGGATTTTGGGTGGATTTGGATGAACTTTGAGTGGATTTTAGTGAATTTTGATGAATTTTTTGGGGATTTTTTGGCTGATTTTGACGATTTTTGGGTGGATTTCTGTAACTTTTGGATAATTTTGGTTCATTTCCCCGCAGAGGTGTCGGTGTCGCTGCTGTCGGTCATCGTCACCTTCTGCGGGCGGGTCCTGCTGGGGGTCTCTGGGTGGATTTTGGGTGGATTTGGATGAATTTTGGGTGGATTTTTTTGGATTTTTTGGCTGATTTTGACGATTTTTGGGTGAATTTCCATAAATTTTGGTAAATTTTGGTTCATTTCCCCGCAGAGGTGTCGGTGTCGCTGCTGTCGGTCATCGTCACCTTCTGCAGGCGGGTCCTGCTGGGGGTCTCTGGGTGGATTTTGGGTGAATTTTGGCGTATTTTGATGAATTTTGGTCGGGATTTTTGGCTGATTTCGGTGATTTTTGGGCGGAATTCTGTAAATTTTGGTAAATTTTGGTTCATTTCCCGCAGAGGTGTCGGTGTCGCTGCTGTCGGTCATTGTCACCTTCTGCGGGCTGGTCCTGCTGAGGGTCTCTGGGTGGATTTTGGGTGGATTTGGATGAATTTTGGGTGGATTTTTATGGATTTTTTGGCTGATTTTGACGATTTTTGGGTGAAATTCAGTGAATTTTGGTTCATTTCCCCGCAGAGGTGTCGGTGTCGCTGCTGTCGGTCATTGTCACCTTCTGCGGGCTGGTCCTGCTGGGGGTCTCTGGGTGGATTTTGGGTGGATTTCAGTGAATTTTGATGAATTTTGTTGAATTTTGGTCGGGATTTTTGGCTGATTTTGGGTGAAATTCGGTGAATTTTGGTTAATTTCCCCGCAGAGGTGTCGGTGTCGCTGCTGTCGGTCATCGTCACCTTCTGCGGGCTGGTCCTGCTGGGGGTCTCTGGGTGGATTTTGGGTGGATTTGGATGAATTTTGATGAATTTTGATCGGGTTTTTTGCCTGATTTTGACAATTTTTGGGTGAAATTCAGTAAATTTTGGTTAATTTCCCCGCAGAGGTGTCGGTGTCGCTGCTCTCGGTCATCGTCACCTTCTGCGGGCGGGTCCTGCTGGGGGTCCCAGGGTGGATTTTGGGTGGATTTGGATGAATTTTGGGTGGATTTCAGTGAATTTGGATGAATTTTGGTCGGGTTTTTTGGCTGATTTTGGTGAATTTTGGCTGATTTTGACGATTTTTGGTTGGATTTTGGTGAATTTTGGTTCATTTCTTGCAGAGGTGTCGGTGTCGCTGCTGTCGGTCATCGTCACCTTCTGCGGGCGGGTCCTGCTGGGGGTCTCTGGGTGGATTTTTATTGGGTTTTTTAGTGAATTTTGATGAATTTTAGTGAATTTTGAGTGGATTTCTGTAAATTTCGATATATTTTGGGGGTTTTTTGGGTGGAATTCTGTAAATTTTGGTAAATTTCGGTTAATTTCCCCGCAGAGGTGTCGGTGTCGCTGCTGTCGGTCATCGTCACCTTCTGCGGGCTGGTCCTGCTGGGGGTCTCTGGGTGGATTTTGGGTGGATTTGGATGAATTTTGATGAATTTTGGTCGGGTTTTTTGGCTGATTTTGGGTGGATTTCTGTAAATTTTGGTAAATTTTGGATCTCTTTCCCCAGAGGTGTCGGTGTCGCTGCTGTCGGTCATTGTCACCTTCTGCGGGCTGGTCCTGCTGGGGGTCTCTCTCTTCGTCTCCTGGAAGCTCTGCTGGCTGCCCTGGCGCCACAAAGGGGGTCCCGGGGGGGTCCCCCCGAGGAAAGACCCCCCCCAGGGCGGTGGGGGAGGGGCGGCGCCTTTCGGGGACCCCCTGCCCGAGCGGGGGGACCCCCCCGAGCCCCCCCCCGAGCGCTGCTACCTGGACATGGGGCCCTGCCCCGAAATCGGGGGGGGGTCCCGAGCCCTGGGCCCGCCCCCCCCGCCCCTCCCCCCCCTCCCCCCCGGGGGACCCCCCCAGGGACCCCCCGAGTTTGGGGGGGATGGAGGGGGGGGAGGGGCGGGGACCCTGCCCAGCGCCCCCTCCCAGCAGCTGGTGGGGGGCAGGTAAGGGAGATTTGGGGGGTTTGGGGGGATTTGGGGGATTTTGGGGGATTTGGGGGATTTGGGGGATTTGGGGGATTTCGGGGATTTCGGGGGGTTTTGGGGGATTTGGGGGATTTGGGGGATTTGGGGACATTGGGGGATTTGAGGACATTTGGGGGATTTGGGGATTTTGGGGGATTGGGGATATTTGGGGACATTGGGGACTTTTGGTGGATTTGGAGGATTTGGGGACATTTTGGACATTTGGGGGATTTGGGGACATTTGGGGCATTTCGGGTATTTGGGACATTTTGGGGATTTGGGGACATTTGGGGGATTTGGGGGATTTGGGGACATTTGGGGGATTTGGGGGATTTGGGGGATTGGGGGAATTGGGGACATTTGGGGGATTTGGGGGATTTGGGGACATTGGGGACATTTGGGGGATTTGGGGGATTTGGGGGATTTGAGGACATTTGGGGGATTTGGGGGATTTGGGGACATTTGAGGGATTTGGGGATATTTGGGGGATTTGGGGACATTTGGGGGGATTTGGGGGATTTGGGGGATTTTGGGGGATTTGGGGACATTTGGGGAATTTGGGGGATTTTGGGGGATTTGGGGGTTTTGGGGAAAATGGGGACATTTGGGACACTTTGGGGATTTGGGACATTTGGGGGAATTGGGGACATTTGGGGGATGTGGGGACATTGGTGTATTTGGGGATTTTGGGGTCATTTGGGGGATTTTGGGGACATTTGGGGACATTGAGGATAAGGGGACAGGGGGACATTTGGGGGGACAGGGAGGGGGGATGGGAAAGGGGGGGGTATCCAACCCCAAATCACCTCAAATCCTCTCGAAATCCCCCAAATCCCCCATTCAAAAACCATCTCCAACCCAAATCCTCCAAATCCCCCAAATCCCCCAAATCCCCGACCCCAAAAGGGTCACTAAACCCAAATCTCCCATCCCAAAACCGACACTGACCCCAAATCCTCCCCAAATCCCTGACCCCAAAAGGGTCTCTGTCCGCAAACCCCCAACCCCAAAACCGACACTGACCCCAAATCTCCATCTCTAAATCCTCCAAATCCCCCAAATCCTCCACCCAGAACCATCTCCAACCCCAAATCCCCCAAATCCCCCAAATCCCCCAAATGCCCCAAATTCCCCAAATCCTTCACCCCAAAACCATCTCCAACCCCGAATCTCCAACCCCAAATCCCCCAAATCCTCCCCAAATCCCCAACCCTAAAACCATCTCCAACCCCAAATCCTGAACCCCAAAACCATCCCAAACCCCAAATCCTTCACCCCAAAACCATCTCCATCCCCAAATCCTGAACCCCAGAACCATCTCCAACCTCAAATCCCCCACCCCAAATCCATCTCCAGCCCCAAATCCTGAACCCCAAAACCATCTCCAAACCCAAATCCCCCAAATCCTCCCCAAATCCTGAACCCCAAAACCATCTCTAACCCCAAATCCTCCACCATAAAACCATCTCCAACCCCATATCCCCAACCCCAAAACCATCTCCAACCCCAAATCCTTCACCCCAAATCCATCTCCAGTCCCAAATCCTGAACCCCAAAACCTTCTCCAACCCCAAATCCTCCACCATAAAACCTTCTCCAACCCCAAATCCTGAACCCCAAAACCTTCTCCAACTCGAAATCCCCCACCCCAAAACCATCTCCAACCCCAAATCCTTCACCCCAAAACCTTCTCCAACCCCAAATCCCTGACCCCAAACCCATCTCCATCCCCACCCCTGACCACCATGTCCCCCCAGCTCCTCGCTGCCGCCGGTCCCCGAGGAGCCGCCGGCGCACCTGGGGCAGATCCAGCCGGAGCTCTACGGCCCCGCCGGTGACCCCGAGCCCTTCGGCGCCCGCGGTGGCCCCGGTGGTGGCCCCGGTGGCCCGACGCCGTCCTGCGGCCGCCTGAACGTGTCCCTGCGCTACTCCTACGGCTCCCAGCAGCTCCTGGTGCGCGTCCTGCGCGCCCGGGACCTGCCGGCCAAGGACTCCAACGGCTTCTCCGACCCCTACGTGAAGATCTACCTGCTGCCCGACCGCAAGAAGAAGTTCCAGACCAAAGTTCTGCGGCGGACGCTGAACCCCGACTGGGACGAGACCTTCAGCTTCGGGGTGCCCTTCGCAGAGCTGCCGGCGCGGCGGCTGCACTTCAGCGTCTACGACTTCGACCGCTTCTCGCGGCACGACCTCATCGGGCAGGTGGTGCTGGACAACCTGCTGGAGGCGGCCGAGGCGCGGCCGGAGATGGTCATCTGGAGGGACATCCAGGAGGGCACCGGGGTGAGTGGGGGTGGGGATGGTGGGGAGC